AGGACAGCGGGACTTGGAGCAGCAGGGTCGGCGCTGTCCCCGCAGGAGCTGTGCGTCCTGTGTCCCTGCGCTGGACAAGTGGAGCTGGAGCTCATAAGTAGTGTCGGAACTGGGGGACGGAGGAGCGCCGCAGGCGCAGAACCTACCGTGTGGGCTCAGGTGCCCGAGGGCAACGTGGGATCCACCGCGTGGTCGCAGGTGCCTGAGGGCAGTGCGGGACCCACAGCTGGCAGGTGCCCTGGCCTCTCAACTCCAGGGTGGCCCAACTGCTCCGCAGCTCCAGACGTGAGGCCGGGCTACACCTGTGGCCTCCTATCTCTAAGAAGTGTCCAAGACCCCGCGCGCGGTTCCCGCGGTGCAAGAAAGTTGTGCGGCGCGGTCTCTGCGCGGACTCCGCGTGCGGGAAACTTGGACTCCGGCTAGTGGGGCGGCGGGTCCCAAGACCCGCGACGCAGGCCACCGGGGCAATGCGCGTGTCAGGGCGCCCGCTGGTCCTTGTGCTGCTACTGCTGAGCATGGTGGGGGACCGGGGACGCGCGCAGCCCCGCGAGCCTGCAGACAGGCAGACGCTGCTGAGGTTGCTAGTTGAGCTGGTCCAGGAGCTGAAGAAATTCCACACGGGAGACAAGAGACTGCAGCTCCTTGGCGAGTCCGACTTTGCCCTGGGCGGCAGAGAGGCCACGGATTATGGGGCAGACCCAGAGGAGCAGAGAGTGGGTGAGTGTTCCTCAGTGTAGACACGAAGGACTCAGTGGGTGAGAGCTCAGCAGTGTAGACCATAATATGACATAGAGTAAGGGAGGGTTCTGGCAGGGTAGGCTTGAAAGGCAAAAAGTAATTAGTGAGTGTCTGGCAGTGTAGAGCTATGAAGATAGAGTGTGGAAGAGAGAGCCCTAGTCTGAGGAACAGAGTGGGTGAGTGTCCAGCAGCTTAGACCACAAAGTACAGAAAGTTAATGAGATTGAGCTGTGGCAGTATGGACCAGTGGGGTGGAGAGTGGATGAGGATCCGGGCAGTGTAGACCAAGAAGAACAGGAAGTATCTTAGTAGTGTAGACCTGAGGGGCAGAGAGTAGGTGACTGCTGAGTGTCTAACAGTTCCAATCTACTTGGTATAGAGTGAATGATTGTTCAATAATATGGACCACGGGGAAGAGAGTAGGCGAGGTCCTGGCAATGTAGACCTGATAGACAGGAGTGAGTGAAAGTGAGTCTTGGCAATATGGACCTGAGAAACCAAGATGCCTGAGTGTCCCTCAGTGTAGACCTTAAGGAAAAAGAATGAGTGAGATCCCGTCAGTGTGGACCGTGAAAGAGTTCTAGCCACAGTGTGTACTGAGGAGCAAAAAGTGGGTATTGGCAGTGTGGATGAAAGGGCTACCTATCTGAAAGACACATTATATTAGTATTTTCTTAAATAGAATTTTTTAGAAGCAGTTTTAAAGATGAATCCATTTTTAAAATTTTAACTAAGGGTTTTTTGTGTTTGTTTTGTTTTTTATTGTTTCTCAAGAAAAAGAAACTAGCAGAAACAGGAGACTGTGTGAGAGCCTCCAAAATAACAATCCCAATTCACTTCTAAGATATGCTGGTGCCCAGTTCAGAATACTCTGCTCTTCTCAGGGGAAGGTTCCCAGCCCACCATTTCCAGCAGAGGAAGAAATGGCCAGAGCTTCCCTGGTGGAGCCCTTCCCAGAGTGGCCCATGGGAATTTCTCAGGGAAGCATGCAAGCTTTTAATGCTTTCATGACAGAATTAGGTCAAATATGAGAGGGTCACTTTTGTGTAAACTGACTCAAGTAAGGAGTCCATGAAGAAAGGCTTTAGGGAATAGTCTCCACCTCCCTCATGAAAGGCTCAATGTCAGTGTCTCTCTTCGGCTATTAAGAAAGAGAAGACTAGTATTTCTGGTAAAATAAAATGTGACATTTCACAATCATAAGAGAAGTTATTGGCCTCATGTGGGTCAGAGACTTAGAAAATGATTACAGAGACTGAAAATAAAGCAAAAACAATATCCAAACTCAGGGGAAAACAAACAAACGGGGAACCATCATGAGGGACCAGGTGCCAATGAAAAGCATGATTATGAGTTGGTGTTTAAAATTCTTTCCTTGGAGACCCTACTTTCCTTATAAATCAAGGTGATGTACATTCCCATCTGTTTATACTAGCCTCACTATCAGAGTCATAAAGAAATTAAAACATCACCTACAATGTATACTGTTCAAAAACACACTTTTTTTGTTTTGAAGATTCAGGTTTATTTCTAGAATTTTTAAATGCTGTGGAATTTGATTTCAAAGTTCTTTGAAGTGTTTACAAGTGGTTCATCCATTGGAACCTATCCAAAACCATTTTTTTTCCAAACCTGTAACTTTATGGCCTGTAACGCTTATCATATCCAGAGAAAATAGACTGGTAATATTGGAGTTTTATGAGTAGTTAATGCTGCTTGAGAAAAACCATGCTGATCTAAGTATCCACATTCTATTATGTGCAACTACCAAGTGTTGTCCTAGTCTAGCCAATGCCTTGTAGTATAGATAATGGGATTCTCAAAAATTTCCTCCACATTCACTTAAGATCACACTTAACAGGTGCGTTGTTCAAGTAATACGATTTCTCACCCCTCATAGAGATTGTTCCTCGAGATCTAAGGATGAAGGACAAGTTTCTGAAACATCTCACAGGTGTGTGTTCCCTTCGCTCCTCCGCCCTCCCTGCTCCTTTTTTGCCCTGAGTCTTTGTGACTTTCTTCCTCTGTGTTCCAGGTCCTCTTTATTTCAGTCCGAAGTGCAGCAAGCACTTTCACAGACTTTACCACAACACGAGAGACTGCACCATCCCTGCATGTAAGTGAGCACCCAATAGGCAAATGGCGCTCCACTCTTTCTTTTCAGTGCAGCAGGTCTGCTTTTTGACAGGTGCGGGGGCCTGAGTGTCCTTACCTGACTGGATTGGGGCAGGGTGCCTAGACATTGGAGCAGATGGCTTAAACTCTGTAACAACCAATCCCACTGGAAAGTATTTACCTCATGATAACCCACTGGACGTAATCAACTCTTGCAATGGACTGAACCCTTCCTTTCATTCACATTCTCGTTTTGTTTATGAATTCCAGCACAACGTCCATATTCTATTCCAATGGACATCACACAGATTAGGTGTGACATGCTCAGGTGTCTGCTGGTGGTCAAAGTGTTGGGGTATAAACAGTCTGGTTGGCCTGAAATTTCCCTGTAAAACTTTTTTTGACTACCTCCACTGCTCTGACCAGTGCTGTTTTCTTTCCATGAGTAATAAAACCCTCATCACCCAAGGTTTTGTTTGTTTGGTTGGTTTGGTTTTGGTTTTGGTTTTGGTTTTGGTTTTGGTTTTGAAGACAGGGTTTCTCTGTGTAGCCCTCACTGTACTGGAACTTGCTCTGTAGACCAGGCTGGTCTTGAACTCACAGAGATCTGCCTGCCTCTGCCTCCTGAGTGCTGGGATTAAAGGCAAGCACCACCAATGACCAGCCACCCAAGAATTTTATTTGCTATTCCAAATGCTGCTCTTCTGGCTGTTCTTCTTCAGCTCAGAGACACAGGGCTTATACATTGACCCATTCCTTGTATGTCTTTCCTTTAAATTTCTTTTCATTTTCAACATGCTTCATCTATTTATCTATTGCAGTATATTTTACTTCCCCAAAATGACTCCTTGCACTCTTCATAAAACCATTTTTTTTTTATGAGATGATGACTTTCACAGGCGAAAGCCATGCAGACACACCAGGATCTGGCTGGCTGCTTTGAGAGACGACAAAGAGGACAGCAGCCCAGTCAGCAGACTGAAGTAGCCTTTCCTGCTTGACACAGATATATTAGTTACATGAAGTAGGAATTTTTTTTTCTGTTTGGCAGCAGAGGTTCTCTCATTAGCATATTTCAGACATAGTCAGGCCTGCTGCCCAAGGTAAGCAAACATGCTTCGTGAAGAATTTAATTTTTCATTTGAACTTGCCATGTGGACCTCTTGTATCACTATCTCCCCTACTTCCTCGTGCAGTGAAACTATCTTCTGTTTGAGAATTACTGACTTGTTTCTTGGAGGGAGGGGGGCACAGAACCTTTTTATTGTTTAAGTGTGCATCTATTTTATAGTAAATATCTCATACAACACAATAATATTCTAGATTCTAAATTTGAACATGAACTTCTAGCATTAAAACACACTCACTTAGGGACTAGGAGACAGAATTTAAAATGCTGGTCATGGAGACATCAAAAAACCAGGCTCAAGGCTCATGCTCCACTAAGCTTCTCCCAGGGTGTCATGCTTTGCTCCACATTGTTGCATCCTTTGGTAATAATATATACAGACTCCTGGTCACAGCTTAAGCTGAGTCTCCAGAGGTGGAAGGTTGACACATTTGTGCACTGAGACAATTAGATGCTTCCACCTCTTTTCCCATAGAGAACAGAATAATAGCTCTTCTGGGATGCTTTAGAGTGTTTAGAAATTCACTGAAATCCTGGGGTGCTAGAATTAATAAGGACAATAGAGTCCAGCCTTCCTTGGTAGCCATAAGAGCTTGGTGAAATGAAGAACCAAATCTCTCTTATTCCTGATAAACAGACTTTGTTCTACTTTACATGCACGTTACTGGCTGAGGAACATTGTTCGAGACTTGGACTGTATGAGATGGGAACACCTGTAGTCTCTAGGCAGATTACAAGTGGAAGTATGTACAGTTTGTTAATTAGATCACTCCTGAGCTCTAATATTCTGACCTTGGTACAGGATCTCTTTGGGAAAACTACATTCCAAACATTGTGGGAGAAGAGCAATAAAGCACAAATCTAGGTGACTAATCGTAAGCAGGTTAGGTTCTCTTTCCTCTTTGAACCACAAGGATATAAATCATAAACATTTAGAAGCTGACTTTTTGGGAGTGTGTATCTATTTATCATTGTCACTCATTCATATTCTCTGTTGAGAATGGAGGCTTCCCCCTTTGAGGTTTTTTTTTTTTTTTTTTTTTTTTTTTTTTTTTTTTTTTTTGCTACTCCTGAGAAATCATAAATTAGTGAAGCTTTTCACAGAATTTTGTCCTGGGGAAATTTCCCTATAGCTGTGGTAACTGAACCTCACTCTATATTTTTTGATGGAGCAGAGGAATGACGTGTGGAGTCATAGGAAGCAGCAGAGAACACCAGGCTGTACTTAAAAACTACTGCGTTTTTCTTCGTCTACACTTGAAATTTTGCTTTAAAATATTTTTCTTCCTCTTCTTCATTGCTGATAATTGAGTCTAGAGCCTCTCACAAGCACTTTATCACTGAGCTATATCCAACCCATTTCTCATTTTTACTTTTTGGGACTTATTCTTGTTAAGTTGCTCAAGGTGGCCCCAAATTCATTCTGTAGCCCAGGCTAGCACTGAACTTCTTATCCTCCTGTCTCTGTTCCTTACATAGCCTCCCAACCGGGTCCAGTCTGCCCTGGTCCTTTTGGCCCTGTTTCTTTCTAACATCATTGCAAAAGTCTATAAGGCTCATCTCAGGTGGAGACTTAGTCTACATGTAATCTGAAAGAGAGTTCACACAAAGGCATATTAAGAAGCAGCACTCGTGGCATTTCTGTATCCCTGGCAGCCACACTTCAGAGGATGCTCTGTCTGTCCCCTCTGTAGCCCTTATCTGATTTCTGCTTGTAATGCCAATTTTTCCCTGAAGTAAGCAACTTAGAGCTCATAATTTCAGGTAACGGACGCTATTGCTCCTAGGGACTTCAGAATATTAGAAAATAAATGGTGGTTATAGCACTTTATATACTTGCAAAAAAATCAGCCTATATTTAATTTTAATGTTGTGCAAGCAACTGACAAGGGTCCATGGTTTGTTTTCACTGCAGACTATAAAAGATGTGCCAGGCTACTTACGCGGCTGGCTGTCAGTCCCATGTGCATGGAGAGATAAGGTAAGCTCCTCGACAATCGTGGTGGCCACACAGCAAGTGTCAGAATCCCATGTAGATCATAAAAAAAGCACATGGGCATTTAGACATAGGCATTCTTTCTCTACAGTAGCCTCACTCTGAGCAAAAGACAACCAATTTATCTCAAAACAAAGGCCATGAGTAGAAGGCTCCCCCTGCTGGCTATCTACAGTGTACATTGTTACTGGAATTTCATATAACAGTTTAACATCAGGACACATGCTTCAATCCATTGCTGTTGACTTCCAGGCTGAACTCTGACATTTATGAACACAGATATTATTCAAAATTTAATAAACAATATAGAAAATGTGGCAGGCTAGAACTGTGGTTCCCTGCTGCCCAGCATTGCACTGCGTATCAGCCCATAAAAACACCAAAAAACACTGAAGCATGAGGTTGGGGATATAGCTCAGAGGATAAGAACACTTATTATGTACACATAAGGCTCTGAGTTCAAATTCCTATTAGCCATGTAAAATTCCAGACATGGCAACAGATACCTGTAACCCCAGAGCTGTACTGGCCAGACAAGAGTTTCAGTGAGAGACCCTGTCTTGAAGGACTAAGGTAGAGTATTACATAACAGGACACTCACCATCCTTCTCTGGCTTCTGTATGCATACATGGGCATGTATATCTGTACATATGTATATAACACACACACACACATTCTTGTCAAATGTACATTCCTTTTGCACCTTAATAAAGTAATACAAAATTTTAAGTTAGACTATACTATTTATTACTAATCACAGCCACACAAATTCTATGTATCTGGTAAAGGTTTGGAGTCATTATAGTTAAAAAAAAAAGCTAGCATAACTAACATAAATGTTTCTATGAGTGCTCACCGCTAGTGAATGCCTAGGGGAAGAAGTGTAAATACACTATCAGGTTGTAAATGTACACTGGCCTCTTGATGCTCTCAACCTTGCTGCTAACAATGGATAGGAGGAAGATGGCTTTATTTCCCAACATAGTCCACAGTATTCATTCAAGACTGATTGACAGAACCTTAGTTTAATCAGTTCTGTATTTCTATGTCATAAGTATGTCAGGCATTATTAGGTGGAGATTCACAAATAAGACCTACTTCCTGATGCAAATGGCTGTTCCCAGAAAACATGCCTGCTGTCCAGAAAATACAAATAAAAAGTGAATGTTGCAATTTTTTTAGTAGCTGTTTTATCTTGTCTCATAAAAAATGAATGAGAGCAGCACTCTTTTCTATAAAGGTATGTTCAGTACAACAGCAGCCCTGTGCACAGAGGTAAGCCTTGGACATGGCTGAGTCAGGAGGGCTGATACACAGCAGCCTCACAATTTGCATTGATTTATCAGGACCAAGAGCCACTAAAAATAAGAGCCTCTCTCCTAATGGTGGAGTGAAGCCATGGGGGCTGCATAAGCAAACTGGCTCTTTCTGGAGGAAGCAGGTGTGTTTGTGCCAGGCAAAGCTGAGAGTGCATGCCCTCATTTCCTTTCTTTCTAACATTTTTAATATTTCTAACCATTGAATTTATAGCACACAGTAGAGTTTTCTCTTAAATGGACACACACACATACCCATATACTTGTGCTGGGGCAATAAAAATGGCAGTTCCATTATGTCCCTTGGGTGTCCCTTGTGAAGCATTTCCATTTACTCCTAAGAAGGGAGAGAATGTTCAGCCTATCCTCTGAGAACTTTCTTGCTTTTGGTACCACGGAGCCTCCTGAGGACTAGCTGCTCCTATACAGGACTCAGTTTTCCAAAGAGCCAAACCACCACCCTACACACTGTACTCACGCACCAGCTCTAGCTGGTCTGTGCCTGGCAGGCATCAGCAGCACATGTGTGCTTGTCCTGGTACAGTATATTACAGGAAACAGCAAGGGAAAGGCAAGGCATGGTGAATAGATTAGACATGGGACAGCCACAGTACATCCCACACTGGCCTCTGCTACTTCTCCTGCATTATCCAGTAGGAATTTGACAGGATATTGCAACACAGTACAGGGATAGGAAGATCTGTGTTCATAAACTTCTACACCAAGGGCCACCCGCTTCAACAGTCACTTGTCCCAAATGGAATAGGCTCAGTTTGGCCAATATATGGGTGGGTGGGGGGGAGGGGGGGCAGTTTAAAACACTAGTATTCCTGTCAACTGTTAGTTTAAAACTTATATTTTTTTAAAGATTAAACTCTTTTAAGTCAGAAGGGTTTAAAATGATAGCAAACCTGTATCTAGTGTCCACCAGTAGAAACTTAGGTAGGTATCTCTCTACTTTGCAGGTTGGTTCAGGGCACTAGTCTGACCCTCAGGGCCAGAACAAACATCGTGTCGCACCACAATGGAGAAAAGCCTGGTTCAATGTCCATACCAGTCTTCTGCTGTGTCCAGTTCCCATCTTCTCTTCAAGACAATTGGACTAGATTCCTATCCCAGCTCTTGCCCAAAGCCTAAGGGGAAGGTTTTACAAGTCCTAGAAGACAAGTAATGAGCAAATTCATGAGGTTTCCTTGAGAAGCTAACTGTCCTTGGACCAGAGGAAGCATATTCTGAGCCACACACATACCTTATCATTGAACCTGTAGTTCAGTTAAGTGAAAAAGCCTGAGCCTGGGTTATCTTTTAAAGTATAGACTTCAGTTCTAAGTATCCAAGTACCTGGTTTAACCTGAACAGAGTCTAGTAACCCTGATGTTACACTTCTTTTAAAACTATAAAGGCAAACATATTTAACAAGGAGTACTAGAAAAGGTTTCGATTAAATAGTAGCTTTACTGTGTGAAAGCAGAAGCGTAAGACAAACTCTACCTAAAGTGACACACTGCAAATCTGTTGATTGAATACCCAAGGAACCCTATCATACATAAAAGACCAAGAACTAAAGTTAACTTTAGTAAGTGTTGTTCATTCACAGGTGTGCGTGATGGCTTTCATCACTTACGCAGTGAACACATGGTAACTAAAGAATTGTTTTCCAGGTGGGAGTGGGGTAAAGACCTAGACTCAGAACATAAAGAGAAATACAGGCCCCTGGTTTATAAATGTGTTGTTATATTGCTGGACTCACAGGTCCTCTAGAATTGGTTCCAAAAATGAGTGGCTATATGAAATCAAATGTAATTGCTTTCAGCTGCAAAGGAGCAACACCAGGAACCTTGAAAAGTGCCTTGGAAACCAACAGAGAACAGAACCATCTTCATGCCCATTTCCTGTGGACAGAGATTTATTTTTGCATTCTTCCATAATTCCTTTGCATTTTCTATGTTGCTGACAGTTTACAAATATACATTCAGCAAATCGGTGTGTCTGTCAGTGAGATTTGCCACTCTTAGATTATAAGAGAAACACTCCACATTTGATGTTTAAAGCTATGAGGTATTTCCCTTTTAAGATTAGGTGGAACCACAAGTATTTCTTTAGAAACATAGGCAGAACATTAAACTGTATTTTCATAGAGTATAAAGTATGATTTGACATTTTGTATTACTTCTACAATTAAACTCCCAAGTATAGTTTGGAACTGCATGAAAAATTTTAATGAAAACCAAAAAACCTCACTTGTTTTGAAGACAGTGGCATATCAATATGTGGGTATGCCCAGGCCAGTCTCATTTGTCCTCTGTAAAAGTACATTCCAGGTATTGTACAATATGTAAATACTGTGAATAAGTACAAGGAAATAAATGAAGTGTTTGGTATAATGAACAGTCTTCAGAGTGACTCTTCTATAACATCATTGCTCAACACACACACACACACACACACACACACACACACACACACGTGGCATACATATATATGTACAGGTGTCACTAAGTATGTTTTTTTTTTTGGTTTTTCAAGACAGGGTTTCCTCTGTGTAGCTTTGAAGCCTATCCTGGCACTCGCTCTAGAGACCAGGCTGGCCTCAAACTCACAGAGATCCAACTGCCTCTGCCTCTGCCTCTGCCCTCTGAGTGCTGGGATTAAAGGCATGCACCACCAACGCCCGTTGTCACTAAGTATTAAATGACACAAATTCCAGATTTCTTGATCTCATTTAGTCATCTATACTCCAAATAAGTTTACACTATTTCCTACATGATTGTAAGAGTATGCCAAACTAAGAACACCAAGAACAGTTCCAAATTTTAACTTTTTTTTTTTTTAAGTAATTGGATTGAACTTAAAGTTTCTGTGTTCATGAGCTCTTACGAACACATGGTAATGTTTGGAACAGCCACAGAACAAAGTAGCCACCAGAAGCCCACATTCCAGGGATTTGCATCTAAGGTACACATGTAAAAATTCAAGAAAATAGGACTTTATAATGTGAAAGGGCAATCGGAGATCTTGAAGCAACTACCAAACTAGGGTGAGAGCTTCTGACTTACTGTGGTTGACTACTTATCCTTTGCCTTCCTAGATTTTAACTTTGTGAAAACTGTGACCAAAACTCCACAGGAGCCAGAAAGTTAATTGGTGAAGTGTCTGTCTTTGTCAGGACATCATGGCCTTTCTGTGAGGAGAGGATGTTGGGGTAGTTGCTTTCCTCTAGAGAGTCATCTGTTTCACCTTCCTCTGAGAGTGGGCTCCAGTCAAGCAGGTAACTGCATATTCCCAGGTCTCTGTGCTTCTTTCAAACATTTCCTAACTAGAAGTTCTTCAGGACTGGAGGTCACCAGTTGTGACCAGTTAAGTCAGGCTAAGACAGACAGTTATCACCTACTCAGCTAGGAAACTGGACCAGCTACATGAAGAAGGCCCATAGATAAGGATAGTTCCCAGAGTCTCTCTTAATTAAGCATACATCACCGTATGTCACAGCAATGTGCTTCTATTTTTCATCACTTTGCTTTCTAATATTGAGAATAAGTACACAAACTTAACATCAGGCCAGATAAAGGGCACATGGAGGCAATGTTTTACATACTTTTTTTTTTCATTTGTCAGTAAGAAAGCAGGCAGACACCAGATTTCAATTTCAGTTATATTTGTTAACGTCCCAGTTTAACTCCAACTCTTTTCTGACATATGAATCTGAGGTCACCTTCTGAAAATGCACTTAAATTACATATGCTTGCCTGTAACTTTAAAATGTTGATGAAAGAACACTATAAACATTCCACTATTTAAGCACATCTTTTCTCTTTTTTTTTAAAGAGGTAAAGTGGCTCAAACAGGAACAAAGCTCAAAAACACTAGACAAAAACCAAGAGCAAGAAATGCTAATGTGATCAATCTGTTGCTCTCTCCTTCACTATATGGCCCAGGATGGCCTGCTGGAATTGCAGGCCTGCATTATTATCACATCCAGCTTCCTCTCTTGCAAATATTTAAATGCCCTCAGTGTGTCTGAGTTTCAACTCTCCCAATGTCAAATGGAAGGCTGATATGGATGGAGTTATTGCCTTAAGAGTCTAGGACAGAGGTATAAGGCAAGCAAATGGCACCCCTGGGTGCTGGCCATGCACACACACTAGTCAGACCAGACCACCCAGGCTAGCTGGGGTCAGAGGCTGACCTGAACCTTGCAGGTCATTCTTACTTCATTGTGTTCCTGTGTTCTATTTTGTTCCATATTTGCTTGTTTCACTATTTTGTAATTAGGGCAAGGTGAGAGGTTCCAATTAGTCTAAGAATGCTTTGCCTCACCTCAAATTATCTTACTCAGATATTTTTATCTTTCTGAACATATGCCTAATTTCCACCTACAATTATTTTAAAGGTGGACAGTAAGTCAGCTGAAAAGACAGGTGGGGCATGGGGCTAAGGACTGCCACCACCCTTGGGCATGGCTCTGGTGAGTGAGTTGCTCAATGGTGGTGGGCAGGACCATCTATCGAGTCTTCTCCAGGAAGGCCTTGCAGCACCTGAGGCATTGCTGGTACACCACTTCGAAGTCAGAATCATTGCCCTAAAAGAACAAAAAAGAAAAACCAACAATGGTTTATAATGACAGTGTCCTCAGAAGACCCAGACCTGTCATTTAATACCACAGAATACATCCTGTCCACCTTAACAGTGGCCCCAAACCTGAAATGTACTTACATAATAGGGATCTTCAATAATGAGTTGTTTCTGTGGATCATAGCTCCCAAGTAGCTCAATTTTAGCTTTGCAGTTTTTAACTTGATTACTTTTTCTATTCAAATCTCTGTAAAATTGAAACATGAACTTAGATTTCTGATCTATGGTTTTAAGTTAAACAGGGACATCTGCTAGGGGTTTATGAAATATCCTATCAAAATACAACAGTGCAACCTGATTTGAAATGAAACAGAACACTCTGCAGACCTGTGGGACTCCTGCAGCTGTATCCACAGTGCAGGGATTCTGATACCCAAATGTGCATCTTTAAGTCACACAATTATTAGGTTTTCTTCTGATTTTGAATTGTATTTTGGGACACTAAAAATGATAACATTTTTTTAAAATGCCAGGAAAGAACTTAAAAAACAAAAATGTATGGATATCACACCCCAAGACAAAGAGACAGTACAGATGATGTTCAGGTCAAGCAAAGACAGAAGCAAGTAGGAGTGAGTGGGAGAACAGGTGAGTGAGGCCAGGAGCAAGTACGAGATAATATGTTCAGTGGGAAGCATGAAGGCCAAGGTAGCAGCAGCTATGATTTTAGGCCCCTCTAGACCCACTCATCTGCCCTGTGAACTTAGGGGAGTGACTTAAGTCCACTGTTCCTCATTTTCTTTCTTGGTAATAAAGTGAATTTACTAATGAGGGGTGTGGACCCGTAGACCACATCAGTATTACAGAGCAACCACTGCTCCTTAACACCTTAGCCCATCAGTGTTAATTAACCAAAAATGTAAACCCAGTAAAGTCTCCGTCTTGCCAGATTTACTCTAGAGTTCTGCACTTATAAAGAAATAAGATACGGGCTGGAGAGATGGCTCAAGAGGTTAAGAGCACAGGCTGCTCTTCCAGAGGTCCTGAGTTCAATTCCCAGCATCCACATGGTGGCTCACAACCATCTGTAATGAGATCTGGTGCCCTCTTTTGGCCTGCAGGCTGACATGCAGGCAGAAGACTGTATACCTAATAAATAAATCTTTAAAAAAGAAAGAAAGAAAGAAAGAAAGAAAGAAAGAAAGAAAGAAAGAAAGAAGATACAAGATACTCCTCATCTGTTACAGCAGTTAACTGAATTAATGCAAATCCATGCATCACTTGTACACCTAAAGCCCCAAACCAGCTGTCTCCATGTCCATTCATTGCTCTCTTTTGGAAACCACATTTCTGTAAACAGATCTGAGTCAACCACACTTCATGTTCCAATAGTTCTGTTATGCTGAATAATTCTATAAATTATAATCAACCTTACATTAAAAACTGTAAGACAATAGAAAGTCATTTTGTACAACACCTTGCTGGGGCTATGACTCAGTTGAGAAGAGGACAAAAATACTGTTTAAAATAGGATTATTGCATGAGGTGGCGCTCCCTTTTAATCCCAGCATTCAGAAGGCAGAGGTGGATGTGAGTTCCAGGACAGACAGGGCTACACAGAAAAACTGTGTCCCAAAAAAACAATTATATATATATATATATGATTACCTCAGATTGCTTTCATCCATACATAGTATATAATCGAATGTGACAAAGTCTTCTCTTGTAATCTGCATTTAAGAAGTCAAAACACAGTGATTATATACATACAAAACAGTAGTTGGGAAAAAAACATGTAATTACATGTTAACTCATTAACTAAATTACATGTTCAGTCATTAACTAAAATTTTAATAAGCAATTTGGAAAATTTTTAGTTAAAATATAATCATTGTAGTTCCAAAACTATACTGCAAAATAATTTTTAGAACGTTCTTTGAAATAATCAGAAAATACAAAAATGGACATTTTGTACAAGGTTCTTTGAAATAATTAGAAAATATAAAATTTGGACATAAAGTTTATTGTTAGTTTTGGACCCTCGGTAAGGAAATATAATTCTGTTGACACATGAATGACTTTCAGGCCATCACCTTCGCTGCTCTATTTGTCATTCCGCTGACTGTCTTAGGCCTTGGTAACACATAGATCTTCTAGTAGAACCATCCATCCATAAAGCAAGGCAGAGAGGAGACACAGGGCCTCAGAAAAGGGAGAATAACTGATTTTCAAAGGGTCCACCAGGGACAAGAAATCATGACTGCAAACCCATAACTTAACATGGGAAGGGTTTCCTCCAGTACATCATCAGATGTACTTTCTTCTGACACCGCACAGTTTAAGATGTGTAATAGTTGAAGAAATTTATCTTCTAGATTTTAACCACCCAGGAAGCATCTAGGTAAAAGGAGTAATGACTATAGCCAAATAATAATAAAAATGGTCACTTACTTGTTACTCAAATGGGAAATTTTAGCTTTCTGTATACACTTCTATTAACTTTTAGTATAGCATTTAAATAATCACAAAGGACTGTATTGTTTCAATATTCCCAAGATGCGTAACTTATTTCAAAGATACTAAAATACTATTATATAAAGTGTTATTTTTTTCAAGTTATGAGAAATATCTTAGCATTAATTTTGAATATAATTAATTTGTCCTTTAAAAGAGATAATGCTTGATGACTTACGGAGTCAAACCACACTAGATTTTTGGGTTTTAAGATAGCTGAGAAAGAAGAGCAGCTAGAACTTCATCTTGTGAAGAATGCACACACAGTAAAGCATTTTTTTTTTTGCATGTGAAAAATTAATCCCATTACCAAATATCATTAGAAAACTCACACAGAAACCAAGATTCTTCTTCAAGGTGATAAGCATGCTCCTAAGAATACCTGGTTCATTGCAGCAGTGTGGCAGGAATACAGCCACAAATAACAGATCACCTACAGTTAAACAAATCTGCATGGACCTTACCAGCTGAACCCAGTGAGCACTGACGTGACCCTACCCAGAGCCCTCCCAAGGGCCTTTTAACTCTCAAGTCATTACAGTCCAAGAGCTTTTTAACTCTCAAGGCATTCAAGTCCACATCCAAACAGCCCATTTTTAGGGGTTTTATCATTGTTAAAACTAAAACAAAATTATTTTTTTCTTAATTAGAAAATACAAATCCAGGACTAAAGAAATGGCTCAGTGGTGAAAAGCACTTGTTACTTTATAATTATAGAGGACCCAAGTTCAGTTCCCAGCATCCACATGGTGTCTCACAACTGTGCAATATAATTACAGTTTCAATAATTATGACACCCTCTTCTAGCCTCTGCAAGCACTACACAAATGCAGTACACATACTTTCAAGTGAAACACTCATACACATAAAGATAGATAGATAGATAGATAGATAGATAGATAGATAGACAGACAGACAGACAGACAGACAGACAGACAGATAGATAGACAGACAGATTTTAAAGCATTAAAAAACCAGAACTATGGGCTTTTTTCCTTAAGATTTGTTTTTATTTGTCTGTCTGCTCATATCTCTCTCTCTCTCTCTTTCTCTCTCTCTCTCTCTCTCTCTCTCTCTCTCTCTCTCTCTCTCTCTCTGTGTGTGTGTGTGTGTGTGTGTGTGTGTGTGTGCACACGTCTATATGAAGGCATGCACCTGTGCGCAGGTGCTAGTAGAAACCAGAAGGTGTCAGATCACCTGGAGCTAGAGTTATGATCTGCCCCTTGGGTACTGAGGAAGTACTCTTAACCACTGAAACATTGCTCTAGCCCACACTGTCAGGCAGATTTTCTTATCAGCCTCCGCACTGGGTTCTACTGGGTTATACCATCTAAGCTGAAGTTATGTGCAATTTAGGGATGCCTCCAAGGGACTTTGTGAATCACTGTGAATATCACTTACTGTTTGATACTAAACCACAACTGAGTAAGTATGCACAGACAACCATCAGGACTGTGATTTCAATGATGTCAAGTAACCAGGAGCTTCCTTGAGAGTAGAGACACGGGCAAAGGCCATGGTGGAAAAGCAGGGCCCCAACTGCCTGTTGTCAGTTTGATCAAGTCCTCTCCTAGCAGGGCAAAAAGCTCAATAGGCCAACGAGAAATTGTGTGGACTCAGTAAAGAAAAGACCAACATTCAATGCTCTGAGCTGCCCCTGCCAAAGGTGTGCTGCCCATGCCATACCTCAGACCCAGCAGGGTACAGAGTTAACAGAAGCCACCTCTCTGACCCAGACACTTACCTACCTGCATTCTGTCAAAAATGGTGGTAAAAATGTGGTCATGAAAAAGTACTATGATTGTTTACACACCACGTGCAAGGACACCACATAACAAAAAGGGGAGAAAACAGACTCACCAGGCCTAGTAATACAGGCCTGTAATTTCAGCTCCTTGTGAGGGGAAGCAGGAAGATCATGATCCAGACTAGCCCAGGCTACAGAATGAGACCATCAAAATAAAACTAAATAATGCTAAGGATATAGCTTTGTGGCAGATCATTTGCATACAAGCATGCACTAGGCCCTACCTAAGGCACTCCAATTCACAGTACTCCAAAACGGTAAAAAGAGAACAGGCTCAGAAATGACCCAAAAGATGCTAACAGACCTAATTTAAAATACTATCAGTATGTTCACTTGTGAATTCACAGCAGCTTTCCCTACTGCACAACATAGAGCCCATTAATGGTCTGGCAAGAATGGGAGAGAAACATATGAGACCTAGCCCCTAGCTGAGGAGATTATTTTTCTTAAGTGGTACAGCCAATGTTAAGTTACCCACTATCCAGTAAATAACCCCGTAACATAGGCATGCAAACAATCTCAGTGGGATGAACTCAGTGGGATGAACACACACACACACACACACACACACACACACACACTAAAGTAGGAGGAAAATACATTGGGAAGAAGGAATCCAAGGGAGTGAGAAGGAAATAAAAGAGGAAAACAGAGAAGTGAATAGGAGCAAATGTATTATGCATACATATGAAATTGTCAAAGAACAAATTACAAAATATTATCAACAGTATGACGTTCAAAAAACTGTAAAAGTTTAAGTTTCACCAGAAAACTACAATTACAAAAAGATGACGTAAAACTTAAAACAGCTGTCAATAAAATAACAGATGTGAATAACTCCATAAATACGCTTATGGACTTTGTAAAGAGTAAAATGCTTAGAGCAGAAAATTGATTACCAGGAAATCTCATAACAAGAGCAGAGTGACAGAATTAAAGCAAGAGAATATAAAGATTTTATGTTCAATATATATAAAAGTTGTCTCTTTGGAAAATCTGGTAAAATAACAGTCTGTCATTTCCCAAAATTGATTTTAAAAAATCAAATCACAATTCAAAGAGCATACTTTGGTCTCTCACAGCAAAGCTGCTTAATTGTAGACCAAAAGAAAAATAAACAGCCAGAAAAAAGATGGGTAATTTCAAAGCAAAGGAACAGCAAAAACAATTGATCAGAACAACTTTTTCAAATTAGAGATACTGTCAACTTTTTATAAACTTCTAAAGATAAGAAAGCATCCCCAAAGTGTATCTGATGAGGAATAGGTACAGATGCTAGGTATAAACCCATTAGACTCCTGTGCTCATGCTCACTCCATTTGCAGTGACCCTATCCATAGAAGCCTCACAACAGAAGATGCCCACATGTCCAGCAGAGGTAGAGTAGGTAGAACAATGAAGCACTTAACACTGGCCAGGACAAACTGCTGTTACACTTAGCAGCAACATGGAGAAGATACTATAAATGTATGGACTCCATTTAGGTGCCAGGGAAAATGAATCAGGAGGATGGCCTTGAGTTTGAGTCTGGTTTGTGCTACAGAGTATGACCCTGACTCAACAAAAGAAAATGCAAATCATCCTATTCCTTTAAGGTTAAAAATCAGAATGAAACTTGGGGGTGACATCTGCATGAAAGGAAAGAGACAGCCAAGTAACCTCAGTGTCATATTCAGTCCAGGGACAAACTGGTAAAAGGAACACTTGAACAAGGGCAGTTCTCCACAACTTACCACACTAAGCTCACATCACAAGACATGACTACTGAGTTACAAAGAACTAGCATCCTAACAACATACCATCTATTAAACCTAGGTTGACAGACTAGTGAAATAAAACTTTACACAAAGTGTGGCAATTAGTAAGGAAAAATAATCTGCATACATAAGCAAAAAATGTGGTATTGACCTACAAAATTATCCTTTAAGTGTTTTGGAACTAAAAAAACAAAATCAATGGTTGAGAACGTTTTCTTAAAAACAAAGGGAAAAGAAAAAACAAAAAGATTCCATAGAAATACTACTTCTAAAGCTAATCATTAAAATTGCTCTAGAGGGAGCTTCTGGCTTTGCTTTTCAAGGCCTATGAATTTAAAACATTCTACCTGCTTTTGTTACAGAGTATGAAAAAAACCATGTCTTAACAGTTTTGACTGACCACTCATAGTCCACATTCCCCAGACAGTGGCAGATTGGCTAAGTTTGTAAAAGCCTGAAGTGATTCAAATGAACAAATGATATAAAATTTTTCATTTTCTGCCTAATGAGAACTGTACTAAAAAAGGGTCAATGAACTACTTAATTTAAATGAAGAATTCACAAAAATATAGCTGCCATCTTCTGATAATATGGACACAAAACTATCTTTATATGTAACTGAAATATTTGTTATTTCCATAGTTTTTAAGACAGACTAACAAGTGTTCATAACAAGACCAGAGTCCTCCTGTATTTTTATGGTACTTCAAAGTAGAAAAGGTATGTACAGTGTAACTTTGTTGTGCCAACAAACTGATAACATAAGCAGAAAGGATGTCTAACCAAAGTTCGTATGTGGTAATATAATGAAGACCACAACTCAGGTCTGGCTCATAGTCAAGATTGTCTCACTGTACTTTATGCCTTTTATTTGTACTTTAACAAGGTACCCAAGGTCATCTAAGCCTTTCAGAACTAAACAGGTAACAAGTTAGTTCACCCTAACCAAATACATCCGGTAATACATAGGGTGGTCAGTCTCTCAAGTTATGGGATTCTACGTAGCAGAAATTAAACAAGATCTTTTCTACCTGTCTTGCCTTATGGGCTGTGCTAATGCCATGATTTCTTAGGCAGCTGACAGCTCTTGGGTCTGGGGGCCGGCCCACGTTCCAGTCGGAAACAGCGCTGCTGTCAATGGCCCACTGTAACACAAAACATATGTCAAGTTCCAGTACGGTACCTGCCGTGCAATGTGACTCATGGGGATGCCATGTTTTCTCATGCAGTTCTGCCCACGATAGTCAGGGGGGTTCCCCACTTCATAGGTGGATGTAGCCGCACTGTCTATCCTCCACTGCAGGAGAGAAAAAGAATGTTCTGGCACCTTGCTGCCCAAACGTAGTCAGTCTAGACTCTTTATGATTCTGAATTATACTCACATTATCTGAAACATTTTCATCAGTTACCAATTTTCTGAAAACAGCTTCTGCAATGGGTGACCGGCAAATGTTACCTTTAAAAAAAAAAAAAAAAAAAAAAAAAAAAGAGGGAGAAGACATACATAGATTGTTAGTTATGGAAGAAAGATTGATGTCAACTCCTGACCTACAGAATGAGTGGATCACTCCCAAAATGGATGTCCAGCAGCTACATCCATTTAAAGTTGGTAAAATAGTGCAGAATCCCCTAGCAGAACAGCTGATCAAACAAGGTCATGGCCCATAGTTGAGGTAACTAGAGCTCAAGAAAACAAATAAACCCAAATCAATTTTCACTAGCAATGAAGCAAAATCAAGTCCTGAAATTAATGATGTGGGTGGCAATCAGCTCAGTTTAAAGTAAGTACAATAGAATAGGAATAAGTATTTTCAAATATACCAAGTATACCTTGCCTTTCGGGTTTGGTGATTCCTTAGAATCATGGAATTCTTGATTCCATGTAGAATTCAGGTAAGTGACATAGTTGCCACTCAAAAGAAGACACAGATTGGAGACAGACAGAAGAAGGGAAAACTCATTCTGGGGACCCCAAAAAAGAAGTCTTCTTGTCCTTGGGGACACCTAACCCTCTTGTCACTGACTGACAATATGTAAGAGTACTACTGCCAAGCCAGGAAGCTAACCATAGTATTGATATTCAGGGTGATTAGTTAAATGTGAGGGGATGATGACTCAGGACCTACCTGAGTCCCCTAACAACATAAACTATGAGGACTCCAGGTGTTAACAGATAGATACTCCATTACTCTAAGAAAGTACCAAGGAAATTGAAGATGAGCCAATCTGAACAAGAACCAAATTCCTTACTACACCAAGAAAGACCAAAGAAACCTTAGATCTGCAAGCAGATCAACAATGAGGCATGCTCATATACTGAGAAGACACAATATAATTATTAAAATGCTGATAAGCAAGTGCTACAATAGCACAAGACAGAGAAACATAAAGATACAATCCAGAAAGCTAAATAAGATGCCAGGAAACCTAGCCTTGAATTGATGTCCTCAGGATAAGCAGTCTAAATGGCATTAGACAGTGAAAGGACCTGACTGTAGGAACTGCAGGATGCAGGGGTACATCTGCATTAGTCCAGACACTAAGGGGCCTAGGACATGGAGCCCCAGTCCCATGCCAAGTCTGTACTTGGTGTAGCCAGTGAGAATAATCTGAAGGTTCTGGCAAGGTAGCTTACCAAACACATTTACTTTGTATGCCTACTACTTTTGAGCCAAGTACTATGGTAAGCCTGTAGTTAGAAAGCTGTTTAAGATACAACTTCTTCCTGCAAGGTGGGAAGCTCAGAAGAGCTCAGAGATACACTGTGAGATTACATGAAAAAGCCAATGGGAAACAGTCTAAGGTATGTGGGTATGACTCCTTTCCTCACCCACCCTTTAATCAGCCCAGACAACTCTAATAAGGCAGGTTTATAAAAGAAAAAATAGATTCAATTAGTTTTATTAGACATGGAAACCTTCCAATTGAAGAGCTAAAGAGTTTGAAAGAACTGTCCCACTTCCCATTTGTTAAAAAGTTAGCATATATAATTTTATGATTAAATCTGGTAAGAACGGATAGTTGTGACTGGACAAAGCACCTCTTCCTGATGAAACACATGCAGGGAGACTCCTCGTGAGGTTTGTCTGTATCTACTCTTTCTTCCTAGTGTAGGATCAACTATGGAACACAGGTCTTTAAGGAAGAAGGGGAAATAACTAGGTTTAAGGTTTCTTAAAGGAAACTACAGGAATTATAGATTCTATGTCCTATCTTAGAGGTAGTCTGCTTTGCTTCAGAGGGCAAGAGGCAGGAGGGTGGAATGTAAGAGAATTTGGTCCAGGGTCACAGCAAGACAACACAACATATTTGGGTGTATAGCATAAACCCAACATTATGAACAAAATTAAGCAAGCAAGAAAGAAACTGTGAGAGGTCAAAAATCTCCTGGCTTCTAATATACAATAGAACATTCTGACATGAGATGCAACAGATGCTCTGATCCCTGGACCAGTTCCTGCCATGATTATACATCCTTCCATATCTAAGTACTTGGCTTCTTCCCATATACTGTGACTTTTTTAAATAACAATAAATTGATTAACCATTAAAGCTAAGACAGGAAGTTATTTTGAATGTCCTCCATAATGCTAGTCCTGGCTGTGAAGGCTTTCCTTTCCACATTGTCATTTTTTATTTTTCTCTGTATATGTGTGGGTGCACAGGCAAGCATGCAGGTACATATAGAGGATGGGGGTAATGTTAGGTAGTGTTCCTCAGAAGTTTCCACTTTGTTTTTAGAGATAGATAGGGTTTCTTACTGGTTTACAGCAGCCTTAGTAGGAAAGGATAGGCTTGCTGGCCAAGAGGCTCAAGAACCCAACAGACTCTACCCACCCAGTACTGGGATTATATAAGTATGTTACCATGTACAGTTTTTGTTTTGTTTTTCTTTTATTTAAACATAGGATTTTTGAAAACCCAGGTCCCTCCAACTAATCAGGGCTAATCTCCCTAGCCCTGATTTTTCTCATAAAAATTGCCATCAGTACTGTTTCACCACCAAAAAAGGCTTTATGTGTATCACCAAACTTCCAGGCAATATTTTCTATAATCAGTAGTGATGTGAAAATTAGGACAACTGTCATTATTTTAGAACATATTTACATTTAAAACCCCCCCACCTTTATAATATATATATATATATATATATATATATATATATATATCATTAACTGTGAAGTAACAGTTTTGTTTTTCCACAATACAAACATTTGGGCCATTTCATCATTTTAGCATATTAACCCATACTTCCACCCCAGACAGCTGTATTTAAATTAAGATATGTAAGTGTAGATTAAAAGTACCCTATTTCTACAGAGATTCCAAGTCATGAAAACTACAAGATCAATAAAGGGAACTACTAATGCTAATAACTTGCTTCTGGCTTCCCAATTGATGTTATTAAAAGATACACAGTTGACATGTTGCCTAGCATATACAAATCCCATCAAAAATGCATAAATAAAAACATACACACATACATACATACATTCATACATACATACATACATACATACATACATACATGGAAAGTCAGTACACTGGCCATTAAGAAAAACACAGGGCCTCAGATTTTACCTTTCACAAGTTCTGGAATTATGACCTTGGTTCTCTTACCAACCACAACGGCTAGAGCTGAAATAACACCTGCCTTTGTCCGATCTTGACCAGCTTAAAAGAGCAAAAATCTCCTCTCACAGTCTTGATAAAACAAGCTCTTTTAACCAGTAGCCCCACCACAGACAAACTCCTGATGCTTCTGTACAGGTACACTTCACCTGAAGAGTCTGATGAAGGGCTCTGAAGGAATAAAACTTTTGCATTTCAAACACAACAGCTTTTGCTATACTCCAAATGGGCTCTGGGTATAATGCATCTGTACCACTCTCAAATTTTCCTGGACTAGCAATTTACCAGCTGACTAGCACACATATGACTAAGAAAGATACCCCTGCTTCTCCCAGGGCCTCCTGTAGCCTAATCTCCCAACTGCAGATGGAACAAACTATACCCCTCCCCACTTCTGCTCTGATCCTCCCACTGGCTTATCTCACCCAGAGGAAACCCAAGTCCTCACATCGCCTCCCATGATCTGCACTCCAAACAGGGGCCCAGAAATGACAACTCATGGCTTACCACATTCACATGAGGTTCAGAAGGTTGACAAAATTTTTAGTTTTAAAACATTTTTTAAATGCAAATGCCGAAAATCTTGTGATATGTGAAAATTCTATCAAGTCCCAATGCTGGTATCTATGAACAAGTTCTACTTACCATAACCAAGTTTGGTTCCTTATGGGTCACCTATGTCTACACTACTGTTCACCACACAAAGTTAAAGAATTCACTCCAGCTGTTTACAGAGTTTGCAGATGCCTGACCTAAAGTATCCACTGTACATAAGGACCTAATCTCTCCCCATGTATTCAGAATAAAGAAGTTTGGTACCCACGGGCAAAGAAATCTCGGCTGAGAAAGGCTGCCTGGACTCCAAACCAAGGTACCAAGACTTCCCTGGTTACAACTCTCACCTGAACACCACACGATCTGTCCTCTGGGCCAGCATGGACAGGCCTCCTGCCCGAGTCCTGACTACAAACTACACTGTTTCCCACTGTTTCTGCTTTTACTGAACACCTCGCACCAACTGCATGAGGCCACTGGCATTCCTTCACTGATAATGAAAGTGACGTGGGGATTAGCAGAAGAGAGTACATCACTGGGTGCATGTTCTTGGGGATAAAGTGTGTCCTGCTTTCTACCCCCCCCCCTTTCTGTGTTTGCAGTCCACATGGAGTGGTCTCTGTCTCATGCTCTGCCCACCTGATGTCCGTGATGCTCTGCCTCACCACAAGCCCAGAATCAACCATCATTCAAGAAAGGCCCGAAACCTGTGAAACTGAGGCAAAACAAATCTATTCTCCCTTAAGTTGTTTTGGTGTTTTAGATATTTCATCACAGAGACAAGGAAAGTAACTTACACAGTAGATGATGGGAGACACAGACTTGAGGGAGGAGCAAGTGAAAGGGGCCACATCCCCCTCTGTGGGATGTGGGAGAGATGGGAGTAAAACAAAGATTTGTGGAGGAAGGGCAAGTTGGGAGGGTGGCATGGGATTGGGAAGAGCAGGAAGGAGAGCAGGAGCATAATCTGAGGCAAAACCGCACCGATCTCAGGTTCAGAGGAGCACCATAAGATGGGGGATGGTTATGAAAACGCCAGGCAAACGAGTGTTCAGGCGCGGGCCCAGCCCAAGCCTCCTGTCCCTTCTTCCCTCCGCCCCGTGCTCTTGTTGAGAAGCTGAACACAGGAAGCACTTCAGGGTCCCAAAAACAAAAGATATTAAGTCGGAGCGCCCTTACCGAGACACACGAACAACACCGAATTGGACCCAGCTTCCGCCATGTTTCGGTACAGCCGCTGGCGCCCAGAGACGGCGTAAGGACGTGGCGCATGCGCACCGCAAGCGCTCCGCTTGTAAACCTGCGCAGCCCCGTCCGCGCCCTACGCTTGCTCGCCGCCAGAGGCCGGGCCAGAAGTCTCCTGGAGGGCTGAGCTCGGCTGTGGGGCGGGGCTGGTGGGCGGGGCCTGGGGTCTGGCGTTTCCTCTGGGCTGGGCTGTGGTCACACGCCTAGGGACAGGGGGCGGAGTGCACGCGGGACGACGCGCCGAGAAGGTCACGGTGGCCCGGTGTTTTGCTGGGCGTATTAGGACGTGCCAGGGCGGCCAATGAGCCCTGGGATGGTGGCCTGCGGACCCTCCCTGGGCGGTGCTCCTCTGCTCTGAGGTACCGCCCTTCCGGGCAAGGTACCCCGTTGGACCACCGAACCTAGGCCACGCCACTGCACAAGCAGTGGGTCTCCCCGATTAAAAAGAGGGGGTGGTTTAGTGGGCTCCAGAGGAATGAGGCGGGTGGACGCAATTGAGCTATGCTGTGAACAAGGTTATAGGACTGGTGATTGCATCGGCGAAAGCAGGGCGTTCCCCTATTCCCTCACCTGGGTCAGGTGTGCGCCCGTTGGGCGGGTCCTGTCGGGGAGGCGAGGCCGGCCAAGGATAACGCCTTCCTCTTCCTGGGCTGGTGAGAGGAGCTCGGGCACCGGGCGGAGCGGCGGGCATCAGTGAGTACGGGTCTGAGCGGCTGGGGCAAGTCGGTATTGTGGCCACTCTGCATCTTGCAAAGGGCACTGTGAAAGAGAATGAAACAGTCAAGTCCCTGGGTCTGTCTGTGCGCATCCACCAAGTTCATACTCCACGGATCGTTTGGCAAATCCTCAGAACTCAAGATTAGTTTCTACACTCTTGGTCATGAAAGGTTTGGTTGACTGTTAATCACAGACGTTTCAGTTCATTACAGAAAAACTGCATTTCCAGTTTTGAAGATTGGTTTTCATCTTGTTATTTTTCTAATATCTGATATTTTACTATCTTCTGGTTTCAAGTTGTTTTGAGAAGTGGCATCCTGTGTACTTGTCACAGATGGGAGAGTTGCACCTTTGATACAGAGATTTGTGTAGGGCTTTTGTGGGAACGGGGTCTCTGGGAAGGGATATTCTCCCGGTGGAGAATGCTCTCAGTGCTGCGCCTCTGGATAAAGTGCCTGTATGTTCCTTTTTAGAGCTTTGAATTGGCCAGTAACAATAGGAAGCAGTTTTCTCTGCTGTCAAAATGTGCGGTCTTCGCGTCATTTCAATAAATGTTACCACTGCCCTGCTAAGGCAGAGCAGGGAACAAAGACTTGAGAAACCTTATCCGTAGGAATGCCCTGCCCTGGGGCAGAAGCCTTGCCCTGCTCTGTGTTTACCAAGTGAACAGGTTCTGTATTCCTGCTGGCCCAGGTACTTCCTTCAGATATGAGGAAATGTTTAGATTCATAATGAGTTGGTAAACCTGCGCACAAAGTTTAGAGAATAACAGGGCTGGGTTTAAGGTGCTGTTTTATTCTACACTGTGGCCTGTTATTGAAATACCATAGCAGCATCTGGTTGTTTGCAAATTGCTATGCTGGAGGTTAAAATAGAATACGTGATAACTTCCATCCTGTTTACGGCATCTTAATTAAGGAGAATCGACTATTGGCTCACTATGTTTAGTTTCTGTGAAATTAGTAAATACTGCTCTTCCACTTTTTTAATTTTACAAAAGGTTTAAAAAAAAAACTCTGGTACATTCATTATTTTTTTATTTTTATTCTCAGGAGATTTCTCCCTAGTATAAATATAAATATTTGGTGTTTCAAAATAAAAGGTGATAATAATCAAAGGTATAATTTGTGCATTGTGATTATTAAGAGTCGCAGGTCCTTGTAAATTCACTCATTTGAAAATGGTGTTGTGAAATGACAGGATTCGTTAATATTTAAAGTCTAAACACATTAAAATTAAATTTTCCTGTTTCTTTAATGACAGACAAGCAGGCATCTATGATCCTATCCTAAACCAACATCTGAATTTCTCTGGGAAGCAAGTACAAGGCAAAGATTTTTCTGCCCTTGCTCCCAGCTCTTTGTCCCCATCCATAGCCAGGTGCCAGATCGGGGGAAAGAAGTGGAGTTTGGATAATTTGGTTGTAAAACTTGTTTAAAGAGGTTAATGGCCTGACCAGTAACATAGATTCTGACTTAACTGATTTGACAGACTTGGGCTCCTTAAGACAAAGTGAGTAGTTAAAACTCAAGCCCCAGAAAGATTACACTGATCTAGACAGATGGAAGATGTCAACATCAGTGCTTAAAGTTGTGCTTCTTGGGGAAGGCAGCATTTCAGAGCCTCTTGAGAGGCTTAGCTCTTTTTTAAATTTTTTTTTAACTAAGGTTTTATCAACTGCTCTAAATATAAACCTAGTTGTGCTCTTATTTCTTTGGTTTCTAATGGGATTTTTATCAACTTAGCAAATTAACCTTGTAAATTAAAATTTTAAGACCTGGATTAATACAGAATGAAAATGTAGAAAGCCATTTCTAGATGTACTTTTCCTATATGTATTGTTTTTGTATTTCTGTTGATGTTTGTTTTTATTTGTTTGTTGAAAGTTGGTTGTTGATGACATTAATTTATGATCTAATACTCTAACAGGAAAAGAGGAGGGACCCTTTGATCTCCGGGCTTTGGTCTTGACCCTGGTTCTAGTTTAGAAGTAGTGGTCAGCTTTCTTACTCCAGTTCAAGTTTGTCCAAAATGAGTTGTGAATGACACTCTTTGGCCCCTAGCCTGGGTTATTAACAAATTGTCAATATGTAAAATGATTTCCAGATCTTAAGTTCACTGAAGCTATGAGGTTTACAAAGTAAATTTTTTCTTCACAACTTTTATAAACTCTTCTTAATATATTAATAGTATGACATTATTTCAAAATTTAGAAATATCCATATGTTTTAGTTGCTTCTGAAAAAAAAAAAGTTACTTTCTTGGCTTAAGATTTCTTCAGAAAAAAAAAAAAAAACCTTATAGCTTGCTTGACTTTGGAATTCAGTGGTTTAAGGCTTTTATGAGTATTCAAATCCTGATTATGAGGTGAAGTTGAGGAGATATTATGGTCATTCAGAAGAACCATTGAATAGGATGTTATCCCTGCTCGGTTGTCATTATAGCAAAACAGAGGAAAAGGGAGTGTAAGGATTCAGTCATTATGAGAAAAGCCAACTGTATCAAATTTTATATCTATTACAGACAATTATGAAGTATATCTTTTGTTAATCCTCAAGTTCGACTTTCTATTACACTAAGGTGATTTAATTATGAGAAGAAGATACTTAATGAGGAGAAAAGCCCAGCCACCTTTTACCTAGGAACCCAAGATCCCATGTTTTCATAATTGGTGAGAGTTTGAGTGTTGAGTGTTAGCCATCTGCAAGATTTCACAACTTAAGAAAACAGAGATGAGATCATCAATAAATGAGGACTGGAAGTTACTCTCCTTAGTAACATTTGACTTTAAATGCTTAACTGTGTGAGAGAATGAAACTGAAATACATTCTGAAACTAGATGTTTTTTCCCCCTCTGTAGTATGTTTTTTTAATCTTTCAGTGAATAACCCTATACCTTCTAATCTGAAATCAGAAGCAAAGAAGGCTGCCAAAATATTAAGAGAATTTACAGAAATAACTTCCAGAAATGGACCTGATAAGATCATTCCTGGTAGGTAAATTTCTAAAGATGTTTGTTTTCTACATTGCTTTCTACATTCCTTAGCATTTCTCCATAGATGTCCTGTGGAAACAAGCATACATTTAGGCCACCCTAATCTGAGACTTCAGAGGGGCAGCACTTTACAGGCAGTCTTTGAGTGGGTAGACAAAGGCCAGAGCCAGTCAGCAGAAAATCATCCCTCGCTTTGCTTCCCTCCACTTAGAGGAGCCAGCCTAAACCCTTGAGTCTTGCTTCATTCAGCTTTTTAAACTCTGGTTTTTGTTTTGTTTTGTTTTTTATCAGTTTGGGGGAATTTGCAAACAGATTTTTCAAAACTCACTAGCTAACCTCTCAGATAAATGTTCATGATATAAGCTTTTTAAAGCACTTCATGATGTTTCTTGAAAATAGGGAAATTGTATTTATAAGTAATATTTTTTTATGTAAGCAAAAGGCACCAAAAAGAATTTGGCCCATAATTTGATGAATTCAATAACTGGCTTCCTGTTCTTCTAAATGACACTGTTATTTTATATCCAAAACTTCATCAATAATAGCATTAACTCCTGAAATGATACATAACAAGTGCTAATGATATGGTTTTAATTCCTATGTTCACACATATGCTGATGTAACTCATCAAACTCAAATCTTCCCTTTCAACTAAACAGAGTGAATAGTGGTAAGATTGTACCTTTAGAGGATAACTCTCATTTTATGTAATGAACTCTGAAATGTGAATAAACTAGTATTATAAATAGAATTAGAATTTTAATATATATATTAAATATAAAGAATATAAATATATAAAGAATATAAAGTGGTAGTTTAAACAGATCATGGGTTTAAAAAGAAAACCTTTTGATATGGTGAATCACTTTTTGTTGTTAAATACAAAATTTCATATTAATAATGAATTCAGTTCTGTATCTTTAAAATCTAAGTTCTGTTGCAAGCTGTATTTTAGTCATTGCTGTTTTGTTTGTTTGCAGCCCATGTGATTGCAAAAGCAAAAGGACTTGCAGTTTTGTCTGTCATTAAAGCTGGATTTCTGGTGACAGCCAGGGGAGGCAGTGGGATTGTCCTGGCACGTCTTCCAGATGGAAGTAAGTTAGTACTTGTAGAGACCTTAAATCTTCTGTGTTCTGCATCTGTTGTGGATGCTGTCATAGGAAGTATGACCTGTGAATCTGCCATGTGCTTCTTCTTGAAATGTGTAATGTGTGTCAGGAAGCAAACAGGAAAGCTAGCCTTAGATTATTACTAGGTGGAACTCAAGGTATATCTGACTATATTATATTACATTTTGTAGGCCTTCTATGGAACATTTTTTGAACACACATTTCTCTTGTTGAATGTGAGTTCTTACTCCTCAATTTTGTGGAAAAGCCAGATTCTTCTGTTTATAAAAGTAACCTGTAAACTTCTTTGTTTCTCTGGAAGATAGTGACATTTGAACCTACCCCCTTCTTCCAGCAGAATTATGTTGAAAGCATTATAACATTTCTTTGTAGACTAAACGCTGTTTGATTTTTTTTCAGAGACAAATTCAAAATGCATCTGCTAAGAATCCTAAGAACCAATGCTTATAGTAGTATTTAAAACTTAGTCACATGTCAGAACCAACTAGGTGCCTTTTCAGTTTGACCTGTATTGTTCCTCATATAAGAAAAAACATTGTTGTATCAGTAACTTTTAGCAGAACTCATTTATACTTTCAGATAATAAGCACAGGTATTGATAAACATGTCCTTTATCCCTGAGTTGGTCTCAATGTTTCTCCAGAGACAGTAGCATATCTTCCCACAGCTGTAACTCAACTTTTCATCGTTCAAGGTTGCCTTTGGTATTGGGGTACATTATAACTCCAGTGCTGTATCTACCAGTCACTTTTCCTTCTCTAGCCCTTGAGTAAAAAGTCTTAACATGTAATCACTTCAATTAATTTTTAATTGTTGTATTTTAAAATAATAAAAATCCTAAATCTTTAAAAATTGGGAAATATGAAACTCTTTTTTTTTTTTGAAATATTGCCAAAAATGCTCTCAGCAGTGACACCAAACACAGATTTGGCACCTTCCGAGGGGATGCCTGTTAGAGAACTAGGTAGTCTCCATAGGAAGGCTCTGCAGATTTGTCTGCTATCCACTGACAGGACAACTTGTTGCTTAAAAGTGAGATTCTGACTCCACCAACCTCTCCACCCCTACTCTCAACCACACTATGTTTTTTTCTATTATTTTTAAAAGTAAGTTTCTTTCCCCCATCTTACAAAACAGCAGCTGTATACCTGCTGAAACTAACTGAAAGGCTACCCAAATAAGGCAAGGCAAGTTCCTGATCCCAGGAAACAGGTCTGTAAGGTTTTTTAGCATAGGTGTGAAAAGCAGCTTTGGGAGATTTAGGCAATGGATCCTGTAATCAAAACTCTTCCAAGACTGGCAGATTAATCCTATATGTATCCATCAGTAATGCTTGTCTAGGATGTGTTCCCTAGCAAAGGAATATCAGTGTAGAAGAAGTGTCATTTATTGATAAACACACTCAATACCAAGCTAAAAATAGTTTTTCTAGATTTGTTTCTCTACAGAAAAAGTAAGTACAATCCTAAAATTCCATTTGCCATGGTAGCAAATTAAAATTATGTTACCATCTCTGGTAGTGATTGAAACAAACTTTTGAATTTTGATCTCTTATGTCTATGATATAATTATGACCCAAACCTAGGCAGTTAAATTGTAAAAATATTGATAGTTGAAATTATCAAATATTTGTATATATTAAGTGTATAAAAGTTTTATATGAGCTGTTAGAGCATGAGATACATAAATTTGTGAGTATGACACTCTTGGTTAATACCTAGTGTCTTTAAAAAAACTAAGTTTTAAAAGGTCTTAAAGTATAAAATGCATCAGTCTTCTGAAAAAATACTATTTTTCTTCATATGACAGACATTTTATGTGTTACAATGTTTTTGTCTGTTTTTATCAGAATGGTCTGCACCTTCAGCCATTGGGATAGCTGGGCTTGGTGGAGGATTTGAAATAGGAATTGAGGTAAGAGGACTGTGTATCCCATTGCCACAATCCCTAAAGGCACCCCAAACTCAGCATGCCAAAATTAAGGCTTCTTAATGCTCTTTGCTTCTTACACTTGTGGAAATTGTTTCCCTCTCCCTCTCCCTCTCCCTCTCCCTCTCCTCTCCTTTTGTCTTCTCTTTCCCTCCCATTGTGTGAACTTGTCTGTCTTTGGCCTTCTATATAAACTGTTGTATATACTCAAGACAACATAAACACAAAGCATTTCAGTTTTGCTCCTCAAGGTTTCATCTGCATTGTGTACAGTAGAATCTACTTTGGAACCCTGGAAGTGGTATTGCCAGCAGCTGTGGCCTCTGGTATCTTCTCCTGATAGTTTCCTTTCAATAGATAAGCTACTTAGACTTCCAGTCCTGATGTCCCCACCCTTCTTCCTTTAGCTCCACCCCCTGATTGCCACAATCCCCTTCTCCTATTTCCACAATTCCCAATGCTCTTTTTAAAACCTCTTAACCTTTCTATAGTCCCTATACCCTCTTATCACTACAACTCCATGTGAGCCTGCTTTTGACCATTTGTTTTGAACACATTGAAAGATTAAGTAATAACACATAGCTTAAATTTCAAAAATTTCAAGACCCAAAAGGAGAGGTACAAGATCATTCTTTGGAAATTGAGGATTTTTTTTCCATTTTAATGGCCTTGAAAAAGAAATGTAATGAAACATAAAGATATTGAACAAACATCTTATTAAATGCTGTACTGTATTATTTCAAAAGCACATGAGTTAGTGGTTGAACTACACTGTGGGGGAAGGTCACGTTGGCTCAAATTCTGGCTAGAGCACCCTGTTGCTGTGTGATGTTGGAGGTCATTTTTTCTTTCTGGATCCTGCTTTCTTTGGCTACAACAAAGATGAAAATGGCCTTCCCTTGAGCTAATATTGGTGATCAAATAGACTGATGTATGCATAAAAAACTCTTGGAATGATACAAGCAATAATTTTTTTCTTTAAACATTTTTGCCATTTACAAAGTTTGGATCATAAAACATATACTCACAGTGCTATAAAAATTAGTTCTGGAATTTATTTCATCAACATGCAGGAAAGATAATTCTTTAAACATGGCTTTGAATTCTTATCTAATTACTTAGTTCATCTTAAGGTATCTTCTGTAGTATTTTTAATGCTTCTTTTAAAATAGTTTTGAAAGAGAGGCCCTAAAATGTAGACACTAAATAATTAAAAGTTCCCCAGAAACTCCATGCTGAGGAAAGGGAAGCCTGATTTAGGTTGCTGAGAGTGAGAAAATCCTGGGATCAGCATTGTTTAGAGGAGAATTGAAGTCCAGGGTGAAGGATGTGACCAATTGAACTGGGATTCAGATTCCATACCCATCGGCTAGCGGCTTAAGTGTAAGATTCCTCATATATGAGTTTGGGAGATGTTGAGTAAAGGATTCGTTATTTGCTTCTCCAGAATCCTCATACAGTATATTCACACCTTCTGTTACTTGGCTTCAAGCTTCTTAGTGAGGACTGGAAGATGTCATAAGATAATCCCTATATCTAATTTTCATGGTGAGAATAGCCATGCCTCTGAATTAGGTATGAGGATTTATGAACCTCTGTAATAACAAGATTGGCAGAAAAGTTACATAGCTTCTAGACGGAGCCAAGGGGTGGAAGTGTGGGGGCGGGGATGAGGGAGAATGGAGAGAAAAAGACAGCCTGGCTTCTGTGAAGTATGAATATGGAGTATTGTGTGTCAACTTTTCCTGGGAAGATACAATTTAAACATCTACTCACTCCAGATAGGGAACCCACAGCAGACCAAAATACAGATAGCACTAAAGTCCAACTTGGTGAACCAGTCAGTTTTATTGGGGTTACTTGCAGTTCTATGGGTGAGGGGTAATTACAGGAGCAGAAGTGACTCAAAGACGGCTGCATCACCAAAGTCCACCCTAGCATGGGTGCCAGCTCACAAAGCTTCAAACCTGGAGCACACTGCAACCTGTAGACAGCTCACCTGAAGGCGTGGTTTAAATGAGTTCACCAGACCCAAGATAAATGATAAATAGGTGTTTATTAGGGAAGGATTTACAGATAAGAGTAAATAACTGCAGCAGTCTTCCTGCTCCAGAAGATGCAGTCTCTGCTCTTCTGATGCTCTTCACAACCTAACAGAGTGCCAGCCAGCCCCTACTGTACCTTATGATGGGTCATCCATACCTGAAACCACACCCAAAAGGTGTGGCCACCACTACAAGTTCACTGGCAAGGCAAGATGCCACTATACTCAACAGCGTGGAGGGTACCTTTCCCAGGTGCCTCAGTTGATCTACACCTCTTCAAGACAGCTCTTCTGATTTTAGCTTTTTCTAGGCAGCTGATTTCAGAGTCCTCTTTGCAGTGTTAATCACACCAGTTGAGAATAAGACCACTACCACGATTTTTGAGACAAGTTTGAAGCAGGCTTCATTAAATACTGGCCAGGAAATTAGACACTGGCCAGGTCTACACCTGGAATTCACAGAGAATGACCCCAAATTATATTAAACAGAGGCTTATAAAGACAAAACCCCTAAGGCTATGTGGTCCCTGCCTTTGTCTTCCTGTCTACATAAGATCAAGCACACCCCGTACACTTGGGACAGCCTGTCTTGCTTACCAAAGTGAAAATACGTGGCTTGTTATCTTACATGAACAACCCTCAGCATTCCAGGAAGTTATCTGTTTTGGGGCAAGTGGGGCTCACTGGTTAGAGGCATTTTTGGTGGTGGTGGTGGTGGTGTTTTATAGATCTCTTAAATACAGTAATTAAAACTTAAAGCATAACTTTAGCCCTCACAGCAGCGTTTCTCCTCCTAGAGTCTTCTTTGCCACCCAGCTTCCTTCCATTTGAGGTAGACTTTAAGCTTTTATTGCTCACTCTGTCAGGGAGGAGCCTAGTGAATCTGTCAGTTTCAGGGACTTCCTGAAGCTATTTTGAGTTGTTTACCTTCCTGCTTAAGGAGCTTCCTACAGGAAGCAACGTTTCACAACAGAAGGTGGGACTGATGGCTAGCTGCCAACTCTCAAGTGTTACCCCTATGCCATACTTGGGATTATGGGAAGACCTCCTTAGCAACCCAGGGAAGTGACACAGATCCCAAGTGGTTTCTTGACCAAAGCTCAAAGAAAAGACACCTTAGAATACTTCCCTCAAATTTTACTGTTGGAACTGTCACGTTTTAGCTCTTATGTTTAAGGAATTATTTAGTTTAAAAACTTGCTCCTGCCGGGCATTGGTGGCGCACACCTTTAATCCCAGCACTCAGGAGGCTGGCGGATCTCTGAGTTCGACGCCAGCCTGGTCTCCAGAGGGAGTGCCAGGATAGGCTCCAAAGCTACACAGAGAAACCCTTGCTCAGAAAAAAAAAAAAAAAGAAAAAGAAAAAAAGAAAAAAAACAAAACTTGCTCCTTTTAAATTAAATTGTTGTTATACAAAACATTCAATTTTTTATCAAATTCTCCAGTGCTATCTTACACGGTCTCAGTGTTGCTCCGCTGCCCAGCTTTCATCAGAGAATACTTTTCTGCTTTTCATTTTCAGCTCTAGAAATATGTGCCCTTAGCTATTGACTGTTTCACTAGTGGCATCACAAAAAGAACATAGGATCATCTTACTCTTACTTCAGAGAAATCAGATACAGAGCAGATGGACAATTGGAAGAAGATTGACTTTTTTCCTATGTGGCCTCTCAGAGCTCCTTTACCTTAACTGTCCTGAGCTGTTCTAAGCGTAGGGTAAAAAGTCCGTACTTCTAGGTTTGAAAAGCCACCAAAACTCACCAATCCAAGACCTTGAAAACCTAGCAATGTCTGAGCTTACCTCAAGATAAGGACTTGAAATCCTACCAACCCCACTCTGGAAATCTCCACCCTGGAAAACTCCTTCTCTTAGAAACCTATATAATCCTGGAAAACTCCTCCTAGAAACCCTATATAAGCCTGTCTTCTGCTCAATTCCCTGCTGCTGCTTTCTGGATCAGAGGCAGCCACCCTCTTGTGTCTTTCCCAATAAATCTCATGTATGAGGTTTGTTGTAAGGTGTGACTTTGTGATATTTCTTGGCTCCAGACTGCCAGGATGCCTTTTTTCAGAACTGCAATGCTTCTTTTGGGGAAACCTTCCCCTCAGAGCTGTAGCACTTAACACTAAACAGTATGAAGTAACTAGTATAGCATCTCTGAAAAGAAATTTACATTTTTGAGTGTGAATGTACCAAACAATGCAAGGTTGTTTTATTACCTCCAGGTGCCTTCGATATAATCATTGGAGGAAGTGCTTAAATTTACACAAGGAATGTTACCAAGTGTAATAGAACAGGCCTATAATCTCAGCATTCAGGAGACCAAGGCAGGAAGATTGTACATTCAAGGCCAGCATTGGATGCAGAGTGAGACACTGTAGTAAGCAAATAAACAACAATAAAGAAATGCTAAATCACCCTGTCTTTTAACACTGTAATCCTCATAGGTTATCTATATGTCAAATAAGAAGAGTAGTTGGTTTAAGTGATGGCACAGACAAACTACCAACTAGACCACTCCATAGGCAGAGTTATTGGGGATCAAACTGCCAAGGTCATATCTGGGGTAGGGTAGGGTAGGGGGTCAGAGAGATGAGGAAAACGGTAGAAAAGCAAGCATACTTTATATGGCAGTCAGCAGGCTGATACAGACTGGATTGACTAGGTACCTTTGCCCAATGTAGTTGACTTTTAGGGGGAAGGTTAAGGGAAGTTCCTGGAGGGTTAAGGGTAAGCCTTAGGAGATCTGCTTTTCTGGTAACAGAAACCCCACCTTTAGGCTTTCATCATTGTTTACCTGGCCAAAGTCCTTCTGTTTAGGACAGTGTTACCTCTATTTGAGGGTGAGGGTGGGGGATTTGGGACCTAACAGTTGGCAAGAGCTGAGAAGACTTTTGCATATGTCAAGAACCTGCTTGTATCATGGATGTTTTTTGATGATGAGATTTTCTGTGCATCAGTTGAAACATTGATTAGGAAACATGTAGAAAAATTTAAAGAACTATGCAAGTTAAGGCATCTTTTAGGATCTGCTTGCCCTTTGTGTTTCACTGTTATGTGGCCATGTAAGCCTTACAAATAATTTCTTTTCCTCAGACAGTGGAGGATGGCTATGTGATCATGCCACCGTTACAGAGAAGAAGATAGGCTTAAGCATCTGTCAACATCATTTCTCCAAAGTCACACAACGTTTGAGAATTAGTGGGGTTTATACCCAAATAGTTTTCATTTTGAGCCCAATTTCTTAGCACTGTCATTATATCTTCAATTTTACAGATACAGATGATGTGTGTATCTGATCCTCATGAAGGTTGGGTGAGGTAGGTTCTGTGCTAAGATTTCAGGGTAACGAATCAATATGTCTCCTAATAAATATATCACAATGTAAGGGGGAGGGGAAGAGGGGTCAGCACTGTGGTCGCCAATGATGTTTCTCACATGACAGGTGATGCTCTTTTTCTTGTCTAACTTTGGGCTTCCTATGGCCATTATGAATTTAGAAAAATAAACTCTATGTTGTATTGACCTAACCAGTCACTTGAATCATATTCTAGTTTTTATTCTCATTTAGAGAAAAAAATAAGTCACTACCTTAGGCATTACCAGTGGAAGCCAGCTAACACCATTCAAATACCCAACATGCAGTGTCAGAGTGATAAGTGTATAGCCACTCTCGAAGTTAGGGTAGAAGGCATCTCAGGATAAAGCCTGACCTGAAGTCCCAGCTCTGTAGTCTGTTAGACTAGATTTTGTAGAAGTTTATCTTTAGATCAAAGCATGTTTTGTCTTCACCTATTTTTAATTTTTTGGTTACCAGTGTGGCAATTTGCAGATAGTGCAGCTGATAATGTACCAGCTGCCATTTCCTGTTGTCATGAGACATAAAGGGGACTATTGAGGGCTAAATGACACACAGGTATTTGCCATAATTACCTGTACAAGTCTGGCTTCTGGCCCTATCTATTCAAAGTAATGGTATCCCTTCCATATCTGGCTTTCTGTCCACATTGAAAGTCTACATTATACATGGTATAGCTGAGCTTAAATCAACACTTATTTTATGCAGTATTTAGGTATACCCATTTTTATTGTTGGGGGAGCTGTTGTTTATTTGTTGAGACAGTAGATTTGCTAGCAGCCTGGAATGTAAGTGGCCTTGAACACACAGAGATAGACCTGCCTATGCTAGGATTAAAGATGAACACAAATACATCAGGCAATATGGCTGTTTATAAATGAGTGGGTTTCTACATTTCAGGTGTCCGATTTGGTGATAATTCTGAATTATGACAAAGCAGTAGAAGCCTTTGCAAAGGGTGGAAACCTGACACTTGGAGGGAATTTTACTGTAGCAGTTGGGCCCCTTGGCAGGTAAGTAAACATATACCAAACTCTAAAGACTTTAAAAATCATAGCTTTTTTCATATTAAGAAGAAATTTGAATTAAAATGATGCCAGGCATTGGTGGCACACGCCTTTAATCCCAGCACTCGGGAGGCAGAAGCAGGCAGATCTCTGTGAGTTCTAGGCCAGCCTGATCAACAGAGGGAGTGCCAGGATAGGCTCCAAAGCTACACAGAGAAACCCTGTCTCAAAAAAACAAAAACAAAAAAAAAACAAACAAAAAAAGATTAACAAACATGATTTCTACAATTGGGAGAGGATTAAAGGTCTCTAAAACAAGAAATTTACAAAAATAAAGAAGAAAAAGAAAACAGTGAGTAGAATCAACTCTGAGCCCAGAACACACAAGAAAAAACAAAGTTTTTCACAAGCACAGGCCTTGCTTTCCATTGAATTGACATAAAATTTACTATAGTTTTGACAAAGCCAAGTGTAGTCAAATTTTTATGAACTGATAAAGGGCATCTGTGTTCTGGAGTTTTGGGGTTTCTCTCAAACTAAATCATTAGAATGTGAAATGGTTGAATCATATTGAGCAGTGTTTATAACACTGTAATTTTATTTTCCTTCTCTGTTAATGAAAGACTATTGGGTTAGTAATCATGCCAGAGAATTAAAAATGATAACTACTAATGGAAGTTAAACAGTAAACCATCTGAAAGTGTTCTATGTAGGAAGAATCCATAGTTTTAGCACTCTTGGGATATGTTTCTCTGGTTGAGAGGGCTAGCTCCCAAATTTCTCTCTCCAGTGCAATCCCACCAAGCCATTTACAGCAGTTCCATGTGATACGTTCTCCCACCACTGCCTTCTCTCCAAGACATGTGGCCGCCCTTGGCCACCACTAAGTCCAAGTATTGGGTGAAAGTCTGGAGATTTGCATGAATGGCAAGACGCCTGGTCCAGTTTCTGAGAGAATGTCTTTCATTCTCTTTTATTGTGGAGCAGCCTTATATACAAATTTACAAGAACCCTGGGTCAAAGGGTTCACAACAGGATACTGATCCTAGTGGGGTGAGGTCAGGAAAACAGGAGGTACCTGTGGTTGTGCTGGAAAACAACTCTTAGAGATGCCATGGGGGCTGGGTCCCAACATCTCCCCCTTCTTTATATATAGCAAAACAGTTATCAAGTAAGAACTATAAGATTTCAACCATTCTATCTTAGTGAGTTACTATAACTATCTATCTTCAACTCCATCGAAGACCATAGAAGGATAATATATAAACTCTAGAACTGACAGAGACATCTTGCTTCCTAGACAGTCACCCAAAGTTTCTTGGTAATGTTGGGGCATCCATTTTTAGCCTACAGGCCACAATGTGTCTGGCAGACTTCTCAGCAAAGCAGGAAATTCTAAAGTGTCCACCTGCATTGGTAGTTTGTCCATCACCTTTTTTTCTGTGTCCTGTAGAATGTCTGGCAGACTCTTCCATGAAGCAGGAACCTTTTATGACTGTCCATCTTGTTTCAGCAGTCACTGTCCTATGGGTCTTGCATGTCCAGATTATAAAGCAACAGTCAAACAGTTCAGGCAAGAGCGGCTTCTTGTCCAAATGTCTAGTCTTGCCATGTCAAAGGCAAACTTTATTTCTTAGATGCCCATCTTCCTCTCGATGTAACTGGTGTGCCAGGAGCAGCTATGTCTCACTGTCAAGAAAAACCCTAAACCATTTAAATGTCATACATTCTGTAGGTCTTTGAAAGGTTTGAAGAATATCAAATATCTAGAAAACCTAACTAATATCAACAAATGAAGATCCATTCCAATACAAAGTATCAATAAATGAGGATCCGTTCCAATACAAAGTATCATTTCTATATCATATTCCTCCTTTTTCCTTTATAAAGTGATTGACTGTGACCACTACCATTTCTAACCGACCGAATTTAAATGAAAACAAATATTCGGATCACCTGGGCCACTGCTTCAGGGGGTCCTGCCCCATGAAACCATAACAGTCTGGAAGAAATCTACAGCTCTTCATCCTCTGTGGAAAAAAAAGCAGAAATTTCCCTCCCAAGTAACCTGTACTTTAACAACTGTTATTCCTTCCCCAGCAATTAAACAATTTAAAGACAACACAATAGCATTCCTTTGTTAACAGTAACACATTTACGATAACACTTCATCCACACATGTGTGGCCACACCATACATACATACATCTTTTGAACAAAACTCACAAAGGAGAGGTGGTGTGGGGAGATGGCCATCCTTACCATAGCTTGGCGTCTTTGGAGGGTCTTGAGGCCTGCCGCATCTTTGTCCATTCCTGTATGGTCTTTTGTAGGTCTTTTCTTCATCCACTCTGACATATTCTCCTTTCTCATCCAATGTGACAGATGATGTGGATGGCTTGTGATGAGGGCTCAGGGAGACCTGCTGGAAGTCCAGGGCTATGTAATTCACATTGCCAGTATTCTTTTTTGGAGCTGGGCTGTTAGTGTCACTGGGTACAGGGGATGAAGACATTGGGTTCTGCATAGGGACATAGTTCTCGCTGTCTCCAGAGTCTCGCTTCATCGGCTGGCAAAGTGATGGGGCATTGTGCTCATGGGGATGTCAGGACTTGGGTTTATGGGCACATAGTTGTCATCAGAGCTGGCACTGTATGATCGACCCATGACAGTCTTTTCTGGAGATTTAGCAGACCAGCAGGCGGTTTCTCCGCCTTGTGTTGGGTACTTATAGTCACTGACTGGAGGTATTTGTTGAGGGCTGCCCCACCGAGGTGTCTTGGGGTGCCGTGGTTGGGGAGCTATGGCTGAGTCCACTAGGAGGTCTCCAAAATCCCTACATAGGGTATTGCTGGGTGCCTTGAAGGTGTACACATCCTCACTATCTGCCGCAGACCCTGTGAGGCTGCCCTTGGTGTGGCTGTGTGAAGCCAGGCTACTAGGGAGGGCAAAAGCACTACATTGGCTTGGCTTGGGAAGGCTATAGAAGCCATGGACCTGACCGCTGACTCTGTTGATACAGTATCTATTGCCCTGGGCAAGTTTTTGTGCAGCTGTATCACTCTCTTGTTGAGTGCTCTGAGAGAAGCTGGCATTCCTTGCATTTTCTGTCCTTCGATTTATGCATTGGTGCAAGTGTTGATACTCCTGAGGTGCACCAATGGACAAGGCAGGCTGGATGTGGCTTGACACAGGGGGATGGCTAGAGTGTGAAGGAGCTGAGGACTTCCTTGCTCGGAGCAGGTACTGACTGGAGCTGCTGAACTCAGCTGGAGAAGAATGGAGACTATGACTGACTGAAGAAAGGTTTCTCAGGGTGTCAGTGCTCTCTTTAGTCTGACTGAAGCCACAGATCTGGCAGATGCTCTGGACCCACCTATTCATGTCAGCCTCTGTGTCAGCCACCAGGTAGAAGGTGCACTCATTGGTCTTGATATTTTTGTTGAAGGTCAGGCCTACATCCAACTGCTTACAGAAGTTTAAGTTGATAATCCACAGGGATTTCTTGGAGTGTTCATTCTTGTAGTATTCCAGAACATCTGGGTCAACCATTCATCTGGCCTCTCCGCAAGATAAACCATCATTTCTTCCAAGCAAAGTGCCCCAACTTTTTCTCAAGAGGCAATTTCTCCAGCCAGCCTGTGCACACCACATCGTTGCCGGCTGACTGGAGCTAGCTGTGGGCTCGAGTAGACAAGGGCATGGGCTGCTGGGTCAGCTGGCTGCTGGTGCACAGCTCACAGGGGAGGGATTCCTCAGAGGAGGATTTCCCATATTTCTTTAATAATTTTCTTAACATTATTACTTAATCCAAAGTTAAAATGAAATCTTACCAGTACCTTGTCTCTTTAAACTTTCTCTGTGTATTTGACTGTGATCTCTATTCCAATCCAACTCTCTTAGGAGTTGAGGCACCCCTTTTCCAGTGCACTTACAACCCAACTCTCTTAGGAATTGAGGCACCCCTTTTCCAGTGCCTTTCCAATCCAACTCTCTTTGGAGTTGAGATTTCTATTTTCCAGTACCTTTTTCCAATCCAACTCTCTTAGGAGTTGAGGTACCTTTTTTTCTAGTACCTTTTGCCAATCCAACTCTCTCAGGAGTTGAGGTACCTATCTTCTAGTACCTTTTGCAATCCACCCTCACAACTCCTTACTTGCTGGCCAAGCTTCTGAGGGTGATGTCTCAGGGTCCCCTTTATTTCCTGATCTCAGTGGAACCTACACTTGTGGCCTCCCTTGGCCACCTCTAAGTAGTGGGAGAAAGCCTGGAGATATGCATGAATGACAAGACGCTTGGTCCAGTTTCTGAGAGAATGTCTCTCACTTTTATTGTGGAGCAGCCTTATATACAAATTTACAAGAACCCCGGGTCAAAGGGTTCACAACAGGATACTGATCCTAGTGGGGTGAGGTCAGGAAAACAGGAGGTACCTGTGGTTGTGCTGGAAAACAACTCTTAGAGATGCCATGGGGGCTGGGTTCCAACAAAGACACATTCAAACTCTAGCTTAGCCAAAGAAAAAACATTGCCTAGGAAGACAGGCCTTGTGGCCAAGTGATGAGCAATCATCCTGGTTCTGCCATCTTTTGTAGGAACCTGGAAGGAAACGTATCCCTGAGAAGCTCTGCAGCTGTCTTCACTTACTGCAAATCCCGGGGCCTTTTTGCTGGCATTTCCCTAGAAGGAAGCTGTTTGATTGAAAGAAAAGAAACCAATAAGAAGTAAGTTCATGCAGAGTGACTTTGATTGATTTTTTTAAAGTGTGTGATGAGAAGATAATACTTCAAAATTTGTCATAGTTTAGGAGTTTATGAGTATACTTATATAATCATTTAAATATAGCAAGGCCTATATTTAAAACTTTTATGAGGAAATTAGTATTGTTTGGGACTGGGGAGATGTCGCAGCAATTCAGAACACTTTACAGAGGACCCAGGTTTGGTTTCCAGCACCCACATGGTAGTTCATAACCACCAACCATAATTACAGTTCCAAGTGATAAAACCCCTTCTTCTTACCCTTGAGGGAACCAGGTAAGCATGTGGTGCACATAGATACACAACAGGCAAAAGACATAAAATAAAATAAATTGAAAAGTAGTATATGTTTGTGAAAATAAGACTTAGAGAGAAAAAATAAGCAAAATGTGACATATTTCTTACTAATACTTTCTTTGCCAAGTAAGATTACAATCATGACATATATTAATTGTGGATGTGATTTTTTTTCTTGGCTTGGCATTATAATAAGCACGTTCAACTAGGTGACAATATGACATCAACATGCCTTGTAGTAAACACAACAAATAATCTTGTGGGTCAGTTAGAAGTGCCTCACTGTGAAAGATTTCCTATTACCACACTCTGGATTTGTCTTCCATACAAAACAGAGACCAATTTTGATTCAAATTTTTATTTCTAAATATTTGTTGCTATCTCAGAGCTTCTTTAATCTTGTGTCTGGATCATTTTTCCTCAAGTGGGTCTTAGAAATCAAACTAACAGATACCAGAATCTTGAACCCAAGGGAGCCAATGTCTTGGTGACCATAGGGCCATTGTAGGACAGACATTCCACTGAAGGAATGAATGTTCACACCAATTTTCCCAAGAGTATAATATCATGCATTTATGTTGCACATAAACCAGAATTAGTCTAAATGAAGGAAATTAAGGTTTGCAAAAAAGTCTTCATCTTATAGAAGCAAGAGTGTTGTGTCTGCCCATTTATGGTTTCAGGAATTGGAGAATGCATTTTAGAAACTCATAATTTTAGGTGTTTGACAGTCTTCTCCCCAAATCTCAGCTAAATCTTAGGTAAACTACAACAATAACTCCTTAAAGAACTGCAAGTCTTTCTAACTTGAAAGGCAAATTTTTAATTTTGATACAAACATTTTAAAGAGATCACAAAGCCATGTATAGCAATTATTTTGGAGACAAGCATAAAGATAAAGCCTACAAAAGTATTGCAGTTTATATGCTTATGTATTTCTATATAAATGTGTGTGTGTATTGACATGCTTTTTGCATGAAGCAAAGTACATGTCAATATTTATGCTCATTGATTTAGAAAGTGAGCTTGGGGTGAATCCAAGAATTAGACATGGGATAAGTCTTGTGGTATCTAATGTACTTCATAAGAGTGATTACACATATATGTGAATGTGACATATTTACCTCCAAAGCACATACTTGTATTTTACAGAAATGTTCTTAATTTTGTATTTACTAGATTTTACTGTCAGGACATTCGAGCATATGACATTTTATTTGGAGATGTTCCACAGCCTGCTCAAGCAGAAGATCTTTATGAAATCCTCAACTCCTTTACTGAAAAGTATGAAAATGAAGGACAACGCATCAATTTGAGAAAAGTAGCACGAGAGCAGAGGAAGGTGCTGTGGAAAGGCTCCCTGTCTTAGGACATACTGTCTGTGATATCAAGTTCCCAATGATATACTGAGCTTCCTTTATGATTCGTTTATGTAAAGTCCTCAAAAATGGCCTAAAGTTTTGACCTTGCACATATTTTAAGAATAGTTTGTCTTCTGTAGTTATGTATCTCTTAAGATGAAATCTGGTAGTGTTAGAGAACCAACACTAGCTGTGCCTTTCTTCCTTGGGTCTCCACTTGATCGCTGTTGTGTAGAGTGGAAACTGAGATACAGAGTCTAAGTCATCACTGCCTTTCTCTGCTGACTGTTCCCTGTGACCATGTCACTGGACTTGCAACCTCCTGCAGACCACACACAGATGTCAGAGGAAGAGGGGGCTTAAGTGCAAGAGTGTACTACATCACACACAGATGTTGGGGCGGGAGGGAGGGGAGCTCAAGTGCAAGTGTGTACTAGATCAACACTTAGCAGAATCTCATGTCCAGTCCTACTCTATATACATGAGTTTCTGGAGCCTAGATAGTAAATGCAGAGGATGAACCCTGCTCTATAAACAGGTTAGAGGCAAAATCATCCTATTCTCATAAGTAAAAGCAGGTATTTAAAATGTTCTGTAATTATTCTTGTGCCTCCCAGGCTAAAGAATTACCTCCAAAACCATCATCAAGACCACAGCAATCCCGAGCACCTGTCCAACTGAATTCTGGCTCCCAGAGTAAGTGCTTCTACTGCAGTTTAAATGTAACAGTATTTAAGTAATCATCAAATATTAAGATAACTTGATATTTCAATATCAAATAAAAGAACCATGAGAATTTAAGAGAAAAATTAATGTTCAGCTTTTTCTAAGGCATAACATAGACTTTCTGTTGTGATTTGTGATGACTTCTCTCATTCTTAAAATATTTTCTTAAATCCACAATGAGATTTATATTCATCATGTTTGGCTTGAGAAATAGCTCAGCAGTTAATAACACTTGGTGTTCTTGCAGAGGACCCCATCTCCATTCCTAGCACCCACATGGCAGTTGAAAAATGTCTGTATCTCTAGTTCCATGGGATTAGACATCCTCTTCAGGTCTTTGTGGACAGTGTGAATGTGTAGCTCACATACACACAGGCAAAACATTCATAGAGATAAAATAAAAATAAAAGAATATTTAAAAATTCAATTTGTTCTGCTGAATATTCCTAGGAGTACAGGGTCTCCATGAAGTGTTTTTAAACTAGGTGAAATTAACTTTTATAAGGTTTCTTGTCATCATATCTGTTTTAATTGAAAAAGATTTTAAAGGCTTTCATATACAAGTACTTTCTGTACATCATTTCTACCCCTTTCTCTCCCTCCTCTAATTCTGCCTGTGTTTTCCCATTTATAACCTCTTCCTCTTTATTTTTTATTATTTTTGTTTATATACATACATATGCATATATATATGTATTGTATATATACAGTGTTTGCATCCTTCCCATCCTTCCCATTGTCTATATATAGAATCTTTCCATCCCTTCTTCCATGATGTTCCCTGTGCCTTGTTTGAAGGGGTTGCGTACCCAACAGTCAGTTGTTGTCTGCATTTTGACCAGTAGTGACTATCTCTGTAATGGTTTCCATCTGCTGCGAAAAGAAACCTTGATGAGTAACAAGAACTATACTTATCTATGGACATAAGGATAAGTATTTAGAATGCAGTTAAAAATTGACTGGTTTAAGGCTGGAGGAACCCACAGAAACAGCTGACCTGAACAAGGGATTGCTCATGGACCCCAAACTGATAGCTGGGAAACCAGCATAGGACTGTTCCAGACCTCCTGAAGGAGGAAGTCAATTTGGAGGCCTGGACAATCTCTGGGGCCACTGGCCATGGATCAGTATTTATCCCTAGTACACAAATGAACTTTGGGAGCCCTCTCCTCATAGAGGGATACTCTTGAAGCCTAGACACGCTAGGGAGGGTCTAGGCCCTGCTCCAAATGATATGACAGACTTTGAAGATCCCTCAAGGAAGGCCTCACCCTTCCTTGGAGAGTCAGTGGGGGCCGGGGAGGAGGGGAGGGAGAGGGAACTGAGATTGACATGTAAAAGAAGCTTGTTTCTAATTTAAATTTTAAAAACAGAGACTGGTTTAGGAAAGTGGCAGTAGTAGCTCTTCTGTAAGGTCTCTGACCTCATTAACTATGGATAGTTGACTCAGCTTCCAGTACTAGGCATGAATTCCCTCTTTCTAGCAAGGTTTAAGTCTAATTTGGTGACTTTAGTTACCACTAGCTATAAAGTGCCACTATTGCCATAGGGAATATCTTACCAGGGTGGTCATTGTTTTAGTCCAGTGGCTTTATTAGATCATAAACAGTTTATCACCACACTCTATCTTTATTCTTTCCCTTACAGATTATATACCCCATCAAAATCTTTCAGGCAATATAAAAATTACAATGTGGTTACATTCTCTTTTTCAAGTGAATGATTATAATGCATACAAGTAAAAAACAGCATGATTTCCATATCCCTTACATGACTAAACATTTTACGTATTACAGATGAGAAACAGATTATCCCAAGAACCCATGTACATTCATACCCAAGCAACTTGTTATAGAGTAACAGAGTGTAAGCAAGCAAGATATTCTTTTACTGTCAGGCTGTGTTTTGCAGTTACAAAGAAATGACCAATCACTTTATTACTTATCTTGAAAGGTAATCTTATAAGGAATCTTAAAGAAATCACAAATCTAAACTTTTGTATATGAAAAAGAACCAGTCAGCTCTACTTCATATCTTTAGGGCACATACCCGTTCATCAGTAGTTTTTAATATCAGGAGATGGAGGGTAAAAGTAGGTATAAGGAATTAATCATCACTTTTAATCACCAACCAAACCTAGCAAGTAAAGTACATCAGCTAGTAATAATTGGCTGCTTTGTATTTGTTCCCTAACCTTAACAAGTTCCTCATTCAACTATGTGTCTTTCTAAAACTTTAGATTGTCTTCTTGGGTTTTTCAACTCAAAGCTATTTGACAAAAACATCTAGTCTAACTTTAAGTTATTTTGAAAGCTTTGTTTCCGCTATGATACACCCTGAAACCTATGATCACATGTCCCAACATTAAGGTTAAAATAATTTAAATCTTCCCTTATTTTTATCTTAACAGGTAATGGAAATGGATATAAGCTATATCCTGAACTTTCTAGCTATCATGAGAAAAATGGTAAGTAAAACTCTATTGCTTAAAAAATGATTTATAACCACCCTACAATCATAAAATTTCCAGTTAATTTGATAGGTTATGAAAATCTCCAGGAAAGAGTTCAAGACTTTTTTTTGTTTGTTTTTGTTTTTGTTTTTCGAGACAGGGTTTCTCTGTATTGTTTTAGAGGCTGTCTTAGAACTCACTATGCAGATCAGGCTGGCCTTGAACTCACAGAGTTCTGCTTTCCTCTGCCTCCCAAGTGCTGGGATTAAAGGCATGCGCCACCAATGTCTGGCGTGTTCAAGACTCTTAATTGTAAATATTCTTAGTGACAAATGGTATGCTTTTGTTCTCTGATCAGCTTTGAGAGACCAGTGGAGACTCTGCAGGAGCAAGCATTGCCATTGGCAGCCCATGGTTTTCTAGTAAAAATATTTCTCAACTTGTTTTACTTAAATACTCCTTAGGAATTTTTCTTGAAAGAATTAAGCACTTAAAAAAAAATGTGAATTAAACATGAATTGAGGCCAAAGAAGACTAAACAGCCATTAACTTAATGTCCTAAACTTTTGCCACTGAAGTCATCAAATTGTGTGTTACTGAATCTATAAACTATTGAGAAATTAGCCATTTTGTATAAGTATAAATAATATTGTCAAAAAAGCAGGTAGTCAAAATCTTAAATAGTATCATGTAGATACAAATATTTTAAATGTCTTTCCTGGTGAACCTGGGGGTTTAACTTTTCCTGGTGAACCCAGGGCCCCACTGTTACAGGTTTCTGTGCTTCCTACTATGATCCCATGGCACTGGTTCTATTGTAAGTCAGTGTAAGCAAAGCATCCTCGGAGGCAAAAAGACAACTTGTAGTAGTCGGTTCTCTACTCTACCATATGGATCTTGGGGATCTGTTTTGTTCTTTCATCTTTTGAAAGGAGAAAACTCTAAGTTTAATTATGTGAGCATTGCAGAAATTATTCAGTGTGGGTTCTGACACACTGCATAATCTCTGCAAACTAAAAATTAAACCCTAACTGGTCGGTTTCTATCTTTACAACCCATACTTGAACTTCTTTCCTAAAATATTTACAGTCCAATTGCACTTTCTTGTTTTAGGAAGTTTGAATCAGCCAATAGAAGTGACAGCACTGTACTCTTTTGAAGGGCAACAACCAGGGGATTTGAATTTTCAAGCCGGAGACAGAATCACAGTTATATCAAAGACTGACTCACATTTTGATTGGTGGGAAGGAAAACTTCGAGGTCAAACTGGCATTTTTCCAGCCAACTATGTAACTATGAATTAAAGTTCATGCTATTTTGTTATTTGATTCAAAACTATCTCTACACAGACAGGATTCATTTATTTACACAAACCTGTTTGACCACATCTTTGCCCTGCAAATGTTTTATCCAGTTGTAAAAGATTTTTCTCCAAATATAAATAAATGGTTAAAGTGACATGCGGCTAAATGCTTTGTATTAACTTAATCATATCTACAGTTGTCATCAGCAATGTTTATGGTCATGTTTCTTTTGTGCTCATCAGACCCCACTTAACCCTTGAGTAACCTGACTGCTCACTACCACAGTTTCAGTATAAACAAAGCATGGCTGGGGAGCACTCACTGCTCACTTTCACGTGAGCATGGATCAACCTCTGAACATCTAGGTAGGGTGGAGGTTTGTTCTTTTCATTCAGCAAGGCTTGGGTGATTAAATGAGCTTGTGAACATAAAGAATAAGAGGCTCCCATGGAGTAGAGGGGCCTCAGAGTCTTCAGGAAGAAAGTCTGTATCTGTCTCCCATCCTGCCATGTTTTACTATCCATTCTCTCCCAAGACAAACCACAGAAACTAGAATTTCTTTTCCCCAAGAAATACCTTAGAAACTAGAACCTCTTTTTCTCAAAGTAAAACTTCATGCCTAGAAATACTAATCTCCCCCTGTTCTTCTACCTTTCCATCTTGGCACTAAGTATAAAGAAATTCTTTGATGTGCTTTGCCTGACAAATCATCAGACCCACACTAGACACAGGCAAGGAATATCAAGTAGTGGCCTTTGCCAGTTGCAGTTGTGCACACTGTCTATTCATCATGGAACCTAAGTATAAGTCAGCCTGGAGACTCCCATAAAAGATGTCCCATAAAATGATAATCAAATATATTTCTTTTACTTCTCTCCTGTTAACTTGTCTTTTGAGGACAAGTTATCATCATGACATTGTGTAGCTGGCAGAAAAATGGATCACTTCCTTTTCTCCTCTGAAGTGAGTAAGATCAGATCATTTGCATAGCATAGGAAACACTTGCCCTGTACAAGAACTTACATGACCGATCTTAAATAATTTACCCAACCTCTATGCCTCAGTTTCCCTACAACTCATGATTGCATAAAATGCTTAGAACAGTGTTGATCATGTAAAGAAATCATTAAACATTAGCAACTAGTGTTGCATTTCCTTTCATGACAAAGAACCCTGCCTTTTCTAGTCACTGCTTGGACTGCCCATGTACTAAGACACACTAAATGGGAAGAAGCCTTATTTTGCATTTCCTATGTGTTCAGGTGCTGAGATGGCTCACTGGCACAGACACAGCACAAGGTTCAGGATGTCTTCCAATGCTGATTCTGCCAGACCTGTCCTAGAGGTCATTCTCTGAGTGCTTTCTTTTCAGATACCTGCCCACCCCTCTCAAGGTGGAGAGTATCAGACCACTGTCCCATCTGCTGAGCCTTGTCTGGGAAACTCAGATCCCACAAAGTGTGTATTGTCTGTAGAGCAGTATCTCAAAGCTACAGGGGTGTTTGTACTCTCTAACAGGTTAAGTGAAGATATGGACAGCAGATAAACTTGAGGGTTGGTCCACAGGTATTTTCAGATCACCTGTTTTGTTGAAGAAAAACTGAGGCTAACGTAATGAAGAGGAAGAATAATACATTCCTAAATCAAAATTAAGAAGCTGCAGTAGGTTTAGACACTGATAAATACTATAAAGAATATTATTGGTAGCATAGAGAAAGAAGCAGGACGTGACTCCATCAAAGACCCATCCATGGAGTATGTGGCATAAAGACACAAGGAGTGAGAGAACTCTGTAGAGAATTCAGACTCCTTGTGCAGTGTGGTGACTATACTTGGTGTTGATGTGTCCTGTTTTTGAAAATTACTAAGGCAGTGGATTTTAAGTATTTTCACCCCTATGATGTATATTCTAAGTAGACTTAATTACCCCACAATGTTTACATAGTCCAAAACATTTTCTCATACATTATAAAGATAGAAATTTTACTTTTCTACTAAAATAGATGTTTTAGAAAGAATCTTTAGGTAAAAATGCACTGGCTGTATGAAAAGATTTTATAAGCAGAAGAAACAAGTATTGTACCTAAGAGAAGTCATGAAGGCAAAAAGAAGACTTGTTGCACCTAGGATTGAAGAGACCCATGGAGGAGGTTTTCATTCTGTGTATCTGTAGTCTCATGACAGGAATACCCTTGTTATCTTATAACTGTAGATGGGCAATGAGAAACAAAGGCTGCGAACATGACCCAGTTAGATGTTTTAGAGGTTTGTATTGTTAGTAGAAAGGTTTTCAGAGTAAAGAAAGGCCATCAATAAGTTGGCTGTGAGCATGAGTAGATGAAAGTAGAGAAAGCAGGATCTGCCCAGCAAATAAGGTTTGTGCACCATAATAGAGCAGACACATGGGAGAAGTGGGTTAGGCTTGATAAAGATAGAAAAGAGACAAAAGGAAGATGTAGTTATCCTTTTGCACCATGTTAATCTGGGGATTCCAGTAGACACATCCAAGTAGAGTTGTGGGTCTGTAATAAAGTAGAAAGATCTAAAGTCAATACTAGAATCCGAAAGCATTTGCTATGTAGTTCGTGATTAAACACAGGGAGAGGATTTGTTATGAGGGAGCAGAGCTACACCTGTGCACAGCTCCTGTCAGAAATGAATAGAAGAAAAATTTCTTATGTGGGAAAAAGGTGTCCATGTAGGCTCAGAGTTCTGAATACATGAGGCAATGAACAATCCCTTGACATGATTGGTCTAGCAGTCCGTCCCCCGCCCACGCCCCCCAGTCATCATAGGCATCCCAAGTAGAGTCCCAGTGGGCAATCACCTTGAGTTAGCACTGGCAGAAATTCTGAGTCAGGTACAGAGTCTGGGGCCAACTTCCATGCTTACATTCATAGGAAGGAATGAATAAATTCTTAAGTGAAATCCTGCTGGCAGAATCTATGCAATTTTGAAAGTTTTTGCCATAATCTCATGGAAGTTTATTTGATACTTGAAAAGTTATTAAAGAACTCTAACTCTTTAGGAATTATATAGACTATTCATTTTAGTGCCAAAAGGTATTCATTTCCCAACTGTATATAGCAATAAAATTTAAAATAGCTTATACTATGTTTGAAAACTGTTGACTTTAGGTTAGACAATCTGGACCTGTTTCTGCCAAGGATTAGCTGATGAATGCAATCCAGACAGATTTCCCCAAGCTCAGATCAGTAGCTCTGGGAGCTACCTTAGCAACCTGGTTATGAAATGAGCTCAGTGAGGCTAGTACAGTCATCGACTCAGTGATAAACACACCAAAGCCTATCTGTTAAATCTGGGGATTAATTAAAAACTTGCAAAGATATCCTATATTACTGAAATAAAAAAAAGTCAGAGTGAACAGTGTATTTCATTTAATTACACTTTAAAAGTATATATTTAAAAGGAAACCATACATTCAAACTGATAGCAGTATTGCATCTGCCCAGTCTGTACAGGAGATAGCAGCTATAAATGTACATTTGTTAATAAGATAAGTTCTTTAAACTTAGAAATCTGTTTGGAAAGCCCTAGTGAATAAATCTAGAACTGTTTTTACTGCTGTGATCCTGGGAGAGGGATGGAGAAAGGCAGAGTCACTGTCCTGGGAGCACCAACCTCACTATCTACAAAGATAACCAAGGGTAGTGGGCAGTGTGGTACCCATAGACTTACTACTGAGGGCATACATGCTGGCAAAGGCCAGAGCACCAGAGAATCACAGCAGATGACTGTAGCTCTGTTACCCTACAGGCCATGAATCTACCACACTAAAGAGACACATAAGTCCTTTATTAGGTCTGCAGGCCCTAGGCTGTTGCTGTTTAAAAGAGTGTTAAAGCTCCATAGACGTGGTGATAACATTCTCCTCTAAGACCCAAGTGGAAACAGAGGCCAGGCTTAGGACCCAGGGCTTAACTCCTATAGTCACCTGTATGTCATCAATTACATATCCTACAGGCATTCCTCTTAGTCTATGCAGAGCCAGCCCTGACGTGGAGACCTGTCTAAATAACTGCTTTTCAGTGCAGAACATAATAAACACCTACTGGTGGTTTCATGTAAAAATGACAGGCAGGACAGCTATCACTGGAATGAAGCCTGGTCTACAAGACTGGAATTCTAGAGGCTTTGGGTTTCTACAAGAAAGATCCTAGCTTCAGACCCTAAAGCCCAGTAGTCTGGAAATGTCTTAGAGTTTTCTTTAGCTGTAATGCTCAAAAGGGCATACAGAAAGTAGAATTACTGGTAAAGTTAAAGGGTGAATTGAAGACTCTGTGTTCTGATTAGTTATGTTTTGTAGTTTGTTTTGCTTTGGTTTTTGGCCACTTGACACAAGCTAGAGTCATTTAGGAAGAGGAAACCTCAACTGAGAAAATGCCACCACCAGACTGGCCTGTAGGCAAGACTCTGGAGGTATTTTCTTGGTTAATGATTGATGTGAGAGGGCCCAACCTACCACTGGGCAGGTGGCCTTAGATGGAATAAGAAAGTGGGCTGAGGCAGCAATGTAATGCAAGCCAGTAAGTAGCATTCTTCCATGATCTCTGCTTCAGTTCCTACTTTGAGTTCCTGTCCTTTCTTCCCTTCATAATATAAGCTGTAAACTAAAATAAACCCTTTTCTCTCAAAGTTGCTTTCAGTCATGGTGTCTTATTATAGCAATATAAAAGAAACTAAGAGACCTTGTGTGGTGGTTTGAAAGAAAATGCACCCCCATAGAGAATGGCGCTATTAGGAGGAGTGGCCTTGTTGAAGTAGATGTGGCATTGTTGAAGCAAGTGTTGTCACTGTGGGGACAGGTTTTGAGGTCTCTTTTGCTCAAGCTTCCCTATGTGTGTCACATCTGTGAGACCACTTCCTGTTGCCTGCAAGACAAGACATAGGACTCTCAGCTACTTCTCCAGCACCATGCCTACCTGCACACCACCATGTCATATCATGATAATAATGGGCTAAACCTCTGAAAATGTAAGCCACCCTAATTAAATGTGTTTCATTTTTAAGTATTGCCGTGGTCATGATGTCTCTTCACAGCAACAGAAACCCTAATTAAGACACCCTGTGGGTATTATTTTCTATCCAGGAGTCTCATGCCAGAATGCCACATTTGAACAACATTGGGCTTGT